TTGAACAGGCTGGAATTGGCCTGAGCAAAGATGAATCCTATTACATATTCCTTGCCCTTAAAAACCTAATTAATGTTCAGCCAATCCAGACCTGTCGCTTCTGGGGCAAAATCTTGGGCCTGGAAATGAACTATATTATAGCTGAAGTACAGTTACGGGAAGAGGAAGAGGAGGAGGAGGAAACAGAAGAGGAAGGAGAGGAAATAATTGCAGAAGAACAGAATGAGATGGATGAGGCTGAAGAAGAAGATGAGCAGAAAGAAAAAGAACCTGAACCACCAAAGTCCACCTATAAACCTCCACCTGATATCCCAAAAGAAGCAAATGGGACTGGGACTAATAAATACGTCTACTTTGTCTGTAACGAGCCAGGCAAACCCTGGGTGAAGTTGCCTCCAGTGACACCAGCCCAGATTGTCTGTGCCAGGCAAATCAAGAAGTTCTTCACTGGTCACTTGGATGCTCCTGTTGTGAGCTTCCCTCCTTTTCCTGGAAATGAGGCCAATTACCTGCGTGCACAGATAGCTCGAATCTCAGCAGGAACCCATGTCTCTCCCACTGGATTTTACCAGTTTCCAGTGGATGAAGAAGAAGAAGCAGATACATACGAAGAAAACCTTGAGTTTGAGCCTCCTCCTGTGGCTGAAATGGTGGAGTCCCTCGCCACGTGGGCACACCACGTCAAGGAGATTCTAAAGCAGGTGTGTGCCAGTATAGCTCATGTGGGCCTTGGATGCCACTCACACTGCAGTGCTTGTAGGGTTACAGAATGTGAATGACACTGCTCACCTGCACACGCAAACTATTCACCAGAAATGGTATTGGATTGAAAGATTTTTATATAGGAAATATATTTTATATCATATATATTATCCAAATATCTTACACTTAGAACATGCATTTTTACATGTTATATAATACATAAATATCTTGCATGTATTTACACGTGCCATCTGTTTTTATGTGTGTGTATATGTATATTTAGGAATCCTCTAGGTTTAGTATTTTTTCCATCTATGTGTTCTTGAGATTGAAACTTGTTTTTAAATAACAGTATGGAGTTAGGCCCTAATAGATAACAGTAATTTCTTGCAATGTTCTGTACGAGGTTTTCTGCTTTGAGATCCTTATTTGACAAAAGTGTTTAAAATTCTCTTTTCTTGAGTAGGATGCTAAAAAGCAGATAGCTTATTGTCGTATGCTAAATGGAACTTATATGGTGTTTTCTTCTGGTTAATTTTTTTGTTTTATACTTTCTGCTGTGAAACATTAACATGAAAAAACTTAAAAACATATCAGACTAGTGCTAGAAGGAGGTATTACTAATTCGGTTTTTATTGCTGGATGATTTGATGGCCAGTCTACCAAGTCAAGAATGCTAGTGTAAAATAACAGCAAATGATTGGAAATAAGGTTTAAACTTACTACCAGCAAAACAATAGCTGTAAAAAATAAAATTAGTGTGCATTAAAATCTTAAGAACATTCTGTTATGTTCTCTGACTGGTAGCCAAATAAAAATGCAGATTTTAAAAAGAAGGAATAAGTCCATAGTTTGCAGTAACTAATAATCTAGCAAGGATATAAACTAAACTGGCCAGGAACTGAAGAATCCAAAATGACAAAAAGCTGATAACAGAGGTATAAGGTTATTCTCAAACAGTAAGCAGGAATGAGTGAGAGGAGGAATGAGGAGAACATTCTGCTAAAAGGATGTTGGCAATAATATTTTATTAACAATATTCCAGTTATGGAATACATATTTTTCTTCTTCCTATCCCTTAACTGTGTATGTCTCTGAGCCAATTGTTTTAACTAGTTTTAACTGGCATTCTTTCAATGATTGTTAGATGTATTTATAACTTTTCCACATCAATTATAGGGTCGCTGTGTTTGGATTAAACCTGCTCAAAAATCAGAGGAAAATGAAGAAGAGGAGGAAGAGGAGGAGGAAGAAGAGCAACAGGAAGAAAGAGGACAAGCCCTTCTTACTCTAATCTCTGAAGATGAAGGTACTCTTCATGGAATATTAAGGTTTTGTTGGAGAGTCACTAGGAATGTTGTCATTTAGCAGTAAATATTTGAAGTTATAAAACTCTGACACTTCTTGGAGCAATATACTTTGCCTCTGTAGGGTAAACACGTTCTTTTACAAAATCAATCAAAAGCAAAATGGTTAATAGTAATAACATTAAAACTGAAATCATCAGGTTTACTAGGTAACCATCTTGTTGAGATTAAAAGGAAAACATAACTTAGACTTGTCATGTTATTCCAAGTTCAAACCAGCTTACTACATGAAATACATTCAGCTATTTTTATCTCATCTTTTTAGGAAAAAAGAAAAATGTGTGTTTATGTGTAAGTAAATAGAATAATTAATATGTACACAAATGCACTGATACACATTACTTGTATAAGAATTTAGATCTTTTAGCATATTACTGCAGCAAATAATGGGAATAAGGGAGCCTGAATATTAGATTACATCGATATTTGACTATTTTTCTACTCTCCATTCTTTAATCAAGGTGAAATATAGCTATACAATTTATCCATAAGTGATAAAAAGTCTTTGACAGAAGACCCAGGGGTGAATGTTACTGAATTTTTTCTGTATGTGGGGATCTCTCAGCATTCCTGTGCTACCACCTGTTGGAAAAGAGTGCTTACACTTACTGTTTCTGACTTTCTGTCGTGCAACTTAACATAAACCTTGCTTGAATTCTGTGCAAGTCTTGTAGCTCAGTCTTAAGTATTTTGTAGAGGCTCGTCAAGTCCATTTATTCATAGACAGTGTGTGTTTGGCTGTCTCCAGGCATAAAAGACATCCCTGCCTGGACGGTTCAGGCTTCTACAGACCTGATCCCAGAATATGCTGTTGCAATCCTGCAGTCTAACCGATGGCCTGGAGCTTATGCCTTTGCATCTGGCAGGTGAGGGTCCAGCTGATATGGTTACAACACTGACTGTATGTGCTACGCACAGGTGCCTCTCAAATGCAGGCAGAGTTACTTTATTATTAATTCATTGACTGAATTCCGGCTATTCCAGAGACAGATGGAGAAGGCCACTTAAATGTGCACAGCAACAGTAAATAGGTATTTAAGACTGGAAAAAAAAAAAAATTGCAAAGGCTGGCATAAAGTTAATGGATGTAAACGCTGAGTTAGCATTTGAGCACAGTCCTTGATTTACAACACATATTCTTGTGTTTGTGGGACTGTTTACAAAACCAGCTACATTCTGTGGTTCTAATGTTCGTTTGTTTCCACTACAAATGGTTATTACCCCCATGTATGTTTCCAGTACACAGTCTTTCCACTACACTGTACTGCAGTGCAGTGCAGTACCACTTCATCATTTTAAATAGAAGATGCATTAACAACCATTAAGGCAGTTAAATAGAGGTGCCATGTTTAAAATTCTTCTGCTATAGGGTATCTGCACCACAGTGACTTCTTGCACAGCAGAGTAAGGATGCCTGACAGTCTGCTAATATTTTGTCAGGGGATGAGTGTGTGATCTTTCACTTCTCTTTCTCAGGAAATTTGAGAACATCTATTTTGGCTGGGGTCACAAATACAATTCAGAAAACCACACTCCTGCATTGCCCCCGCCAGCAGAAGCAGAATTCCCCAGTGATCCAGGAATCACTGAGAGAGCAGACCCCACTGTGGAAGAGGAAATGGCTTTCAAGGCTGCACTGGAAGAAGCCTTAGCTGCAGCTGAGGAGGAGGAAAATGAGGAAGTGGAGGATGATTAAAATATGGAAGAAAACAGATTGTTTTAAATTTTTGAATATAAAAAGCATTTTCTTTTTTAGTCATGTTTTTAGTAAAAATATTTAGTCTTTTTTTTTGCTGACCTCAAATTATTTTTGAATGTGACTTATTTTTTGATTTCTGTAGGCTTTTCTTGGCAGCTGTCTCCTTCTCCTTCCCCACCCCTCAAACCTGTCCACACTGGCATGAAGGCTTTTTCTGTTTGTTTGACTAAGCAAACATAGTCTGCTTCCTAAAATGAGGCTGCTTTGAACTAAGAACTACCACCCACAAGATATTTGCACTGTTTTTCTAGCCCTCATTTCAATTCATACATACATTTTACTTAAATAAACTTTTTTAAATATCCCATTACTATGTCGCTCTTATGTGTAAAAGTGTGCAGTAGGCAGCTTATTGAGGTACTGGGGGATGAGTGTACGGCAGTGATAGCACTCATCATTGGCACTGGGTGCTGCACCTCCAATTCTGTACTCAAGTTTTGGGCTGCATCTTTAATCCCGTGCTCAGTTTTGAGCTGCACTTCCAATTCTGTGCTCAAGTTTTGGGCTGCATCTCCAATCCTGTACTCAGTTTTGGGCCCGTCACTGCAAGAGACATGGAGATACTCGAGCGCATCCAGAGAAGGGCAGTGGAACTGGGAAAGGGTGAAAGGGTCTGGAGCACTGTGAGGAGCGGCTGAGGGAGCGGGGGGTGTTGAGCCTGGAGGAAAGGAGGCTCGGGGGAGACCTAATCCCTGTATACAAGTGCCTGACAGCAGCGTGTAGCCAGGTGGGGGTTGGCCTCTTCCCCCCCAGTTACAAGCGACAAGAGGAAACAGCCTCAGGTTGCACTAGGGGAGGTTCACGTGGCATATCAGGAAAAGCTCCTTAACGGAAAGGCTTCTCAGCCTTGGAGCGGCTGCCAGGGACGCGGCGGAGTGGCCATGACCGGGGGTGTTAAAAGACCGGCAGGCCGCCCAGGGACGCGGCGGAGCGGCCATGCCGGGGGTGTTTAAAAGACCGGCAGCTGGGTCGGGACAGCCTTTCCTTCCCGGGCCGCTGCCATCTGGGCAGGCGGGGGGGAAGGTGCGGCGGGAGAGCTCGGGGGCTGCTCAGCCCGCTGGCCCTGACCGCGCTTCCCTCGGCCGCCCCTCCGCACCTCCCCGCCAGCTCATGCGAGTGGTGCGCTCCACGCACGGCGTGCGTCCCTCGCGAGCCAATAGGGAGCGGCTGGGGGCGCAGTTCAAACTTCGGCGGCAGTTGGGGCGGGCGCTCCTGCGCTGCCAGAGCCGTCCCCTGTCCGCTCCCTCTCCTCCTGTCCCGGTCCCGGACCCTCTCCTCCTGTCCCGGCCGGCATGGCGGACGAGGGTGCCGTCACGGTGTGCGTGCGTGTGCGGCCGCTCATCGCCAGGTGAGCCGCCGGGCTGGCGGCAGCCGAGGCTCCCTCCTCACCCCCGGGTGCCGCCGCGCTCCCGCACTGGGGCAGGGAGGCGGACGGAGGGAGCCGGAGAGGGGGTCGCGGTAAGGGGGCCCGCGTTTTGGGAGCAGAATCCTCGCCCAATAAAGGTAACACGGTGTCTCTTCTTTTAGAGAAAATGCCTCAGGAGATAAAGTGTCCCTGCACTGGAAAAGTGAGAATAATACTGTTTCCGACGTGAGTGGTACCAAAATATTTAGTTACGGTAAGAATGTGAAAGCAATTGCTTTACTTAGATACTTACGCGGAGCTTTTCTGCTGTAGTCTTGAACGTGTTTACTGTGGTGAATGCCCTGGGCTTCTTGAAATGTCCCCCAACCTTCCGAGGTTCCTAATTCCGACGGAGTTCCATTGGGGCACGCAGGATTTCTGATGTAGGCAGTACTGGGATGTGCTTTTGAGGTCAGCTTCCTGATGGACATTACTTTCTCTGTTCTGGTTCATGCCGTAGTGCCTCTGGAACACATTTTTTTTATCTGAAATCCAGTTGTAAATGGACTAAACAAGGGCTAGTCTAGAGCATATAGGAAGAAGGGTATGGGAGAACACAGTCCCAAAAGTGACTAGTGTGAATGTTGGATCCTCATAATTAAGTGGCTCTCTTTGAGTCTTTTCTTACTGATTCACTCTGCTTGTTAATATGAGCCACTACAAATATTTTTCCCAAAATACAAATTCACATAAAAGTATGCACCAGTCTAGGAGTTTAGCAATTAACCTGTCTTGTCAGGCTTACCATCCTTGTAGGTAAACTAGCCAAAACCTTTTAGGATTAAATGGGATGACTGTTTAAGTGTGTTCATCATTCTTAGGGTTTTTTTTTACTTGTCTATCATCTGTGCATTGTGTCTATCTTGATTTTGTGTTTAATATTTATTTTAAAACAAAATCTTTAAAGCTTGCATTAGTAGTGCTACAATGATATTTATATTGGCGTTAACCTGCAGATGATTATCCAAATTTACTGGATTTGGAGTCTGCAATACTGAATTTGAATTGCAATAGAGTGGATTCACTGTTTTTGTTGTTTGTTTTAAGATCGTGTCTTTCACTCAAGTGACAACACTCAGCAGTTGTATGATGGTGTAGCTGTTCCAATTATACAGTCAGCTGTGCGAGGCTATAATGGTAAGTTTTAAAACTGTGTTTAAAAAACTTTTGGAATGTATTTCAGAGATAGTTGGTAAAACTTAACCATCTTTCTAGGCACAATTTTTGCTTATGGACAGACTGCTTCAGGGAAGACTTACACAATGATGGGGAATGAAGATTCCGTGGGCATTATCCCTAAGGCAATTCAACATGTGTTCAAAATCATTTGTGAGGTGAGAAATTCTATTAAATTGAAGTGACTGAAAGGACTAGTAATATTTGTGCTGGTTACATAAAAGTTAATTTTTGTATCAAGAGGCTTATGAAGGAAATCAACTTATATTGGACTATATGTTGCAGTTACTTTGCCAGCCTGGCAAAGATGAGTATTTCAAACAAAAAGTTAATGGGACTCTAGTAGTTGAAATCAAATCAGAGCAAAACTGCATAATATGTTAAACTGATTACAAATAAAAATAGATACTCACTTATTAATGTGGTAGATAAGATAATGCAAAGTTGTGTTTATTCTGCTACTTTAAAAGTCTAAAAAATTGACAATAAATGACGTTTTTTTTTTGTGGGAAGAATATGACGCTATATTATTTTAGGCTTTCAAAAGAATTTCTAATTGCTCAATATTAATAAAAGTAAGGAGAAAGTGTACATTAAAACAGTGGTTTCCAAAACATGATTTGCAGAGTGTTTGCTTCCGACTTGAGAGTTTCAGGTAGTTGTTACCGGTGAAGTGAAATGGTCACCGCTCCTTTAAGGAGGTGCAGAGTACCCTTAGAGGGTTTATAGAAGTAAATAAAAGCAAGAAAATTTTCCTTGAGTCCATTGTGCAGCCTTTCCTCACCCCAACATTCTCTGCCAAGGAGGCAGGGGAAGAAGAAGCAGCAGCAGCAAAGTAAAACCGAGCAAGCAAAGAGAGAAGACAAGGTACACAGAGAGGAAGGAGCCTAAGCAGGAGGAAATTGGTTATAGAAATGGCATTTAAGTAGGAGAACTATTGCCATGCTTCTGTTGGGCAGTTACCTTAATTTTATAACCACTTAGAAGTGGTATATCCATTAATGCAGCTGGAAGGAGGTGGGATAGAAGAAAAATGATTCTGTATTGTTAGATGCTAATGTACAGCAAGGATGAAGGGAAAGAAATCTGTGGAACAATATCCAAACCTTTATCTCCAGTTTAAGAATACCTGTATTAAAAGATGTTCATCAGTTAGTCTGGTTTCTGTTTGATTTTTTTTTCTCCTTTCAACATCAGATTCCAGATAGAGAATTCCTGCTGAGGGTTTCTTACATGGAAATCTACAATGAAACAATTACCGATTTGCTTTGCGATAATAGGAAAAAGAAGCCTCTGGGAATTCGTGAGGATGTTAATGTAAGTGGATGTTATGTGTAAGTACTGTATCTGCTTGGAGTAAAAGAAGTTGGGAAAAAATGCCTTCAGAAGCAGCCAGTGGAAGACTTTTCTGGGACAAACTGTGTAATTGTATCTTCAGCATTAGCAAAAGGACACTTGATGTAGTTGAATAACAACAGTGACTTTGGGCTTGCTACTGTTAGTTCATCTTTGTAAAAGTAGACTTAATCCTCAAGGTTTCCAGGATGGTATATTTGAACTGCAAAGACTCAATAATTGTTTAGCTAGTGGCACTTCTACAAACATGATGTTAAGCTCCATGTGTTACAAATTTCTGACAGATATACAGAGTTATTTTAAGATCATCTACCAAGTAGATACACTTTTCTTCTTCTGTGATCATAGAATAACCATGAGACTAGAACTATTCAGTAAGATGATCACTATAGAAAAGGAAGTCTGTATGAACACCATCTTCAGTTTCTTTATATAAAGTTTTGTAGGAAATGATAAAAATTGTTGATTTGGGTTTTGGGGTGTTTTTTTCCCTTTGGTTCCCTTAAGTGGTCATGGTTTTGGAACATAGGAAGAAGGGAAATTTACCAGCTGTATGACTATGTCCTGATAAGAGTTACTGAGAAATAGACTCCTAAATTCCCTTAGAAAATGTGAAGAAGGATATTTCACACAGCCCTTCTGTTTTTAGAAAAATCTAAATCTATTGTTTGAGTCTTGTGCCCTTAGGCAACAATTGCCTTTGACAATTTTGGTCAAAGTCTAAACTTTACCCATCCCTTGTGTTTAGAGTAAAAAGACATTCAGCTGTTGAATAAATACCGTAATTGCTGGTAATGTGTACTTTATGTATTGAAGTGTGTTTTGGAGTTCAGTAAAATTTATTACTGTGTTAATTTTATAGAGGAATACATATGTAGAAGATCTGATTGAAGAAGTGGTAGTTGCCCCAGAACAAGTTATGGAATGGATCAGAAAAGGAGAAAGTAAGTATTTAGACCATGTCAGCTGGTAGCTTTAAAAAGTGTTGGTTAAATCAGGTACATTTAGAACCATGGGGTATCCCCTTGGATTTATTTTCATAAACCAAAGTTTTTCAGAAAGTCTTAAAATGGTACTCTTTGTTTATCTCCAGTTTATTAGATTATAAGCAGAAGTATTCTAATATTATTTTTGACAGGAAATCGCCATTATGGAGAAACAAAAATGAATGAACACAGCAGCCGTTCCCACACTATCTTCAGAATGGTAAAAAAATGTTTCACTATTGGAAGTGGTTTTATTGTTTTCAAAGTAATAAAAACTTAATTGAACTTCATTGCATTTCTAGATCATTGAAAGCAGAGAACGAAGTGACCCTGCAAATGCAAACTGTGATGGAGCAGTCATGGTTTCCCACTTGGTAAGTGTCTACCTTCTTGGAATACAGGTTAACTAAAGAATTTTCTGTTACTGCTTGTTTGAGAGACTAATGGTACTGCATAATGACTTAGAAGAGTTTTTTGTTGTTAACTCTGACAGACGTTTCTTAAGTATAGAGGGAGACTCCTATAGCATTATCTAGAGCAGATATTCCCACCAGAGGGAGTTCTACATGAGAGTTATTCATGCTGGACTGGGGAAGTGTTACGACATTCTAGGAGCATTAAGGCACTATGTCAGGGTGCTCTTGAGTATTGTTCAACACATCTTCCCTACAATTGTTTCTAACCACTGACAAGTCCAGTAAAATAACTTGTAAAATGGGTAACCTTAAGTCTTCACTTATCCTCAAATTTAGTTGTTGTTAGAAGAATGTGTGGCCTACATCTGCAATGGCCAAAAGATTCATTTTTTTTTTCAGAAGTGACCCCTCTTAGCATCTCTTTGGATTACTGGTATATGAAATACCATAAACTGGGGAGAATACCTCTGGACATCTCTAGTGAAATGTTAAGGTTTCAGAAGCCTTTTCTACAGCTTATTTGAAGGCTACTTGCTCAGGCAAATCATTATGGGATGCCATAATGTTCAGAGTGAGGCTTTTCTTCTCGTAGTTAATTTTTTTTTCTTATTTCCACAATGATAGGCAAGGAGAGACATACAGCCAGCTTTGGACAGGACACTAGCTCATCTCACCTAGGCTCTTTCCCATGAAAGATTCCTACAGCTGGAATTAGTTGTCAACACTTCTGTATAGAGAAATTTTTATCTTTTTTGTGACCGAGGGTAGAGATTGTTACACTGTAAGTTTAAAACACAATTTGGGGTGGAATAATAGAGTTCATACAAACTTACTCTGCACCCTTATGTACCTTTGAAAGTATTGGTTGTGTGTAGTAAGCATTAATTCCAGTAATGACAGACCCTTTACTTTTTTTTTTTTTGAAGTTTAACTTTAGTTTATTAAATTCTTAGCAGAGATTTAGAATTATGAGGGCTTTAAGTAAATTGTCTCAGAACTAACCTGTGAAATATTTAATGCATTTGCAGAACTTGGTAGATCTGGCAGGCAGTGAAAGAGCTAGTCAAACAGGATCTGAAGGTGAGTGTTAAATGAAGCTCCACTGACAACTCCTGTTAATTAACCTCTATGAGAAACTATGATAGAAAGAAAATTATTTGATTCATGTGCTATTGTGTTATTTAATGTTTATAAATAAGGCATTTTCCCCTTGGCAGGACAGGATCTACTAAGGCAAATACTGTAAATGCTGTGAAGTGCAAACAATTAAGTAGTAATATGCCTTTTCTAGAATTGCAGGCCCAGCAACAGTTCTGCACTGAACTAATACAATGGGGATGACTCAGTGAAGATGCACCTGTAATAACAAAATCACAAGAAGCTTTTTAGGGACTTGTGTGTAGAGGTGAAGAGTGAATAGATGGCTCACTCTTCAGTTCAGAGGAAGCTCATCTGTTAACAGTCACAGCATGAAGCTGCACAAAAGTGCCTTGCTCAGAAATAAGTGATCTGAGAGGGACAGAATAGCCTCTCTTACAATCCATGACTAAGCTGAAACTTGTATCTAAGACAAGTTTGTTATATTTGTAAATGTGGGCATTTGCAAAATTTAATCAGGAAGAAAAATTGTTGTTATGGCCTCAGATTCTTACTATGTAAAAGTTCTAAAAGTTTTTTTTTTTTATTACTGTTTTATTTCAGTGCATTTTGGCTATCATAAAGGATTGGGTACTGCCTGCTGATGGGTCAATAGTGTATTGTGGCACTTAAGGTTTAACTCTTGGACAATCAATCCCTCTGAGCATAACATAGTACAGAAGCTTGACAGGTTGAAAATGTATCTTAATATTGCTATAAATTTAAAATAGTAATAATAAAATGTGTGTTACCTAGGTGTTCGACTGAAAGAAGGCTGCAATATAAATCGGAGCTTGTTCATTCTGGGTCAAGTTATCAAAAAACTTTGTGATGACCCTTCTGGGTAAGCAACTCTTTGTGTACCTGTTATAAGATAAGGCACTGCTAATCTAAGGAATTAAAATCCTTTATTTGTAATCTTATGTAGGTAACTGTTTCACATAACCTGTTACCTATAGAAAATGTATTTATCAGGTTTATGCCAAAATCTGATGTTTTTTGTTGTTGTTGCCTCTTTTTTATTAGCTTCATAAATTACAGAGACAGTAAGCTGACTCGAATTCTGCAGAACTCCCTTGGAGGAAATGCTAAAACAGTTATTATTTGTACAATTACTCCTGTTTCTTTTGATGAGACACTCAGCACTCTTCAGGTAAAGCTTCTCACCTCTTCTCCAGCACTAGTCATTGTAGAAAGGTTTGAGGGGTGGAAAATGTAATCTGCTGGATCTTTAATGAGCCGGGTCTTCTGTAGGGCTTCTGTAAACTCGGAACTTGAAATATTTTTTGTACACAACATTTTTTCGCAGTCATCCTGTGCTAGGTGGTGTACCTAGAGCTTTTTGGAAGTTGGAACAAAGCTCCTTCTCTCACTTAGCAGACAGGAGAAAACCACTCTTATCTCATTTGCCTTTTCCAAATAGTTAAGAGAAGTCTTGGCTAGCACAAGAATGCTCTGCTTCACATTTTACGTATTAATATCAAGCAAGGAAAGCTTCACCTTTTCAAAGCTTAGAATATATTAAAAATAAGCTATTTCAAATATTTGGGTCCTATTATATGCTGTTCTTTATCTAATAAACTCACCCTTTAATTCTGTTGGGAAATATGGGACAAAATAAGTCTTTTTAGATATTTATTCTTCAACTATTACCCATGAAATACTGTTCTTCCAGTTTGCCAATACAGCCAAAGGAATGAAGAATACACCAAAAGTCAATGAAGTTCTTGATGATGATGCTCTCCTGAAGAGATACCGCAAAGAAATTCTGGATTTGAAAAAGCAGCTGGAGGAAGTATGTAATAAACTCAAAAAAATCAATCCTTATTACTGATAACTATTTGGAGACTAGCTGTTTTAAATCAAAAGCAGTTAAATTTGGAGGGGTAGGTGAACTCTTTAAAGTGATTTCTGCCACTTTTATTGAAAGAAGAAAAATTGAATATTTGATGAATAGTCTAGAGCAACTAATGATAGTCAATATCTCTGTGTGCAAGCTAAGGCTGAATGAGATCAACTGACAGAATTGTGAATTTGTTACACCTAATCAGTAGGTTAACATAATTAAGAAATAGAAATTTGTGATGCCTATAGCACACTTTAATGGATCAAAAGATACAATTCATATAATTAATCTAAGAAGTGATTGCATGTCTGTTAAAGATCCCAACTTCGTATTATTTTCTCCCTTACTGATATCTACCTTCAGTTTGAGTTGCAGGAATTTGCAACTGCATGAATATCACTGGCACTTAGGTCACGTATATGTGGAAGTTGCATTTAGAAAATGAACAATAGTAACTTCTCACCAAACAATGTTGTTTCTGATGCTTTTCCTTGTCTAAAAGTCTATGGACCTGTGGAACAATCTTGCAAGTTTTGTTAGACCACAGATGATAAAACATAAATACAAGAAAATAACAATGCCAAATATACTGTTCTAGTGCCTTAAATCAAATAATGTACTTTCTTACTGCAAATTATAAATATCCTTGGAGAATTTTTTTAGAAAAATTATTCCTTATTTTTAATGATAATGAATTTGCAGCATGAACTTAGGGGTATGTTTAATATCTTCTGTGATAGCAGGTAGTGAGTTATATTTGGAAGAATGCTCTTTTTATACCTAGAAAAATCTGAGGCTGTATTGTTTCTGGAAGTTTTGACCACTTTTAAATATTGAGTCTGCAGTGAAAACATAGACTAAACTGTCAGTTTCATTCTTCAGGATTAAATATTTCTCTTCCATACTTAAAGGAGTGTATGTGTGTAGTTGTTTTTAACTATCAATGATTATGTATCTGTTGTAGGAGTGGTTTCTGCTCTTAAGATGTCAGTGTGATTAATACTCTCTTTTTGGAAGGTATCTTCAAAAACTCAAATTCATGCAATGGAAAAGGACCAACTGGCCCAGCTGTTGGAAGAAAAAAATTCCCTTCAAAAAGTACAGGAAGACAGAATACGAAACTTAACTGAGATGCTGGTGACTTCTGCTTCCTTTGCCTCAAGACAGAATGTTAAAGTAAGCTCCTGTTCCAGATCTTACTGATAACTCTAAAATACTTTGCAAAGGCAATGTTACATACATAGATTTATATTGATAATGAAGAGTAACTATAACGGGCAATTTTCGCTCTTTTTTTCATGTTTTTAAAGGGCTAACTTTTAAATTAACTTCTGTCAATTCAATGTTGCCTTGTGGTGAACAGACTGCAAGGACTTTTTTGCTTTCCAACTAATTTTGAGGAAACTGCAAAATACTGTCCAGTTAACTGGTGATGCAGGTATGGATGCAGAACTAGCCAGAGGCAACATTTACTCTCTGCCTAGTAGTTTCGTTTTACCACTTTTTCTGTAAATACTTTTTTAAAGGCCAAGAGAAGAAGAAGAGTTACTTGGGCTCCTGGTAAAATAAACCAGGCAAACGTGAGCTTTTTGGAAGACCTTGAAAATGCGATGCCAACTGAAACAAAAAAAATGAAGTTGTCTCTGCCAGCAGTACCAGATGTGGAGGAATGTAAGTAACTAGATTATCTTTGAGGTCCTTTCCAACCCAGACCATTCTGTTTCATTTTCCGTGAAATTCCCAACAAATAACTTTGCAAGCATTGCATTACATTTCCCGAAGGGAATAAATTGATCCTTTGCGAACAGAAATTAAAAACCAAAGTAACAAGACTACAAGTGTTGTTCTACACACTTTTCAACAAAAAGTGCTTCTACCACCCCAAATTGCCTGGATATTGAGTTTTTAATTCTTTAAACCAAAGGGGAGAGCTGTGAGGTAAATGGCAAGGTCTATAAACACTTGCCATGCAGCCTACCCACACCCCCTAGTTTTTTGGGAAAGTGTTCTTTAACACAGAATGTCCATTTCAACCCATGTTCTCTCCCCAAAAATGAAGAGGTATATGTGTGAAATCCCCAAATCCTCAAGAATAGAAGTTGTTATTCAAAGACGAGATTGAGACAGAAATTCAAGGATTCATAAGTGGAGTGAACTGAAATTGGAAAATAAATTTAAAAACAAAATTCACCTGAGAACAAGAGGACAATTTAGTAGTATTGTTGTGGAATTACATCCTACATCCTTATTACCTGTCCTGTGAAACATGTATTTGCTTGTAGGTGGATTGTTCTGGGCTCTTTTTTTTTTCTGTATGGGGGTGGGCTGCTTTTTTCCCTTAAGTCTTGCAGGTTACTGTTGAGTGGTTCTTTTCTTGACACTCAAACTTTTCCTAGTCTGTAATTAAGTATATATTCTGGATTTGGTTTAGACTTCATTAACTTGTGATAAGATGGCCAACATAAGTATAGGGATTGGACTTCACTGGTGTTCCGTTTCATAACAGAAAATCATGAGAGTCAGAAGTCTTACTCAGTGTGCTGTTGTTTTGCCATTGAATGATTTGTTTCCAATGTGGTAAAATTATTTGATGAAGAAATTCTTGATGCTCAGTTTAAAATCTACTGGTACTTCTGTTAATACACCTTTCTTTTCAGCTACCTTAGAGAATTCTGGGTATGACAGCCATTGCCTGATGGTTCCTGATCAAACTTCAGAAGCAGAATGGATTGCTGGTCCTAACATGAATTGGGTAACAACATAATCTGTTTTGACTTTTTGATACTGCACATATTCATAACATGCTTCTCAGTAAGATCAGCCTTACTGTTCTGTAGAACACCAGTGTTCTGTGTCTGCAGAATTATTGAAACTGGTTAGAAAGTCTCTTGCCATCTCTGTGAAGCTGTGGTATGGGTTTGTGGCAAATGATAAAGTCAACTTTGGTCTTTAAACAGGATTAGCTGTGTGAAAAGACAAGCAACAAGGAATAGAATACTCCACTTACTTGATCTTGTAGATCTGCTAACTGAGAGTGTTCCTTTTTCTAGACCCAGAAAGACTTTGAAGAATCTGTGCAGCTCTGTGAAGCATTAGCACTAGAAAAGGTAGGTCTACTCTGAACTTTCTAGCAATAAGGCTGACATTGCAGCAACAGCTTCTAAAGTTTCTTGTGCCATTTCTTTAGGATATTGTTGTTAAAGAGGTCCACATCCTGCAAGCTAACTTTGATAATTTAGTGCTGGAAAATGAGCAGTTGAAATTAGAAATAAATGAACTGAAAGAGAGACTGAAGGAAAAAGAAGAAATAGATGAATTTGAAGCACTGGAAAAGCAAACACAGAAAGATCATGAGGTAAGGTGCACTGAAATAGAGAGAGATGAATTCTCTATGCTCAAATGCTTTCTGGAGTTTATTCAGTGTACATAGCCTTGAATGTTGATTCACAAACAGATGGTGTTATAAGCTGCATTCAGCAACAGAATGAATGAACTCAGACTTTAAACTGTATCTACATGGAGTGTAGAGTTCAGACAAATTTTTGGAGAGTTGCATACTGAAGCCTTAAACGTGTATATGTATCTATATGTTATTTTTGTAAATGTGTGATCTGAATTTCACTCTAGACTTCTGTGCAGCAGTTGTTTTGCTGCTTAAATACATTTTAGAACTGTTTTGAAATTTAAATATGGTTGCTAAACTGTATTTCCCATATTTCTTGTGTGAAACATCTTGTCTTATGTTCCAAGATAGCTCACTTTGGTAATCCATGGACTACGTGAGCATTAACTTTTAACATGATTTATCTTCGTCATTAAATTAGTTTAAAATAATAGTAAGAACAGTAATAGTAAAATCAAAACATTGTATTTTGTGCCAGGAAGTGACAAAAAATGTGATGTTACCTATTAGATAACTTGGAATATAGGAAATGCTGACTTTCTTTTCTCTTCACTCTTTGTGTGGTTACTGGAGACGTTGATAATCCAAATGTTTATGCTCTGATTGTGTAATCTAAAATACCTGCTACTTGTATTAGGTGCTACCTACCTAAAGGCTGGATTGTGAAACAAGTTATGACAAAAAGAACTCCAAACAAAACCAGTAATTCGAGGTCTTGAGATGTGGGTGTATTGTTCCCTTTCTTTCCTGATACCTTTGCTGGACATTACTTGTGCACACTAGTCTGTATAATATCTTCTGATCATGATACCCATGTTGAATTTTGTTACATCCTTTTGCATATTTATTTCAGGTTACAATTTAACAACGTCACTGCTCATTTGGATTGTGTTCCCTACAATGATTTATGAATATTAAAGAAAATGGCTCCATAAAATATTACCATCTACCTTGTATTTAAGATTCTTTTTAAAAGACTCTTTGTATGCTAGACTGAATGTGCTGTCTTCCTTAGCTAATGTTTAGCAAATCCTAAGTTACAGCTTTCCCTGCAATGTTCTTGGATATCTAATAACAGATGTAATGTCTAAAGTAGCTTCCATTGCAAGAACTGCTTTTTGAATTATTTGCTTTCAGAAATCTGAAAACAGTTAATAAAATCTAAGCATTTATTGATATCCATGTAGTAGATTACTTATAGCAATACTGAAAGGTCACATACTTCACCAAATACATTAGATTAAATATATCAGTTTATACAGGTAAACTACATAGGAATTCTCACAGGAGTGTGCTTGTTTTAAAGCTTTTCACTAATATTAAATTTGCAGATTGCATCTTTTTACCTTTGCTTGTGACTATACATAAGTACTTGTAGATGAGTGCTTATTGTAAAAGTTTTCTAACAGAGACCAAAAGAAAGAAATCGAAAAACCTCCTATCTGGTCTTCTACTTGTGACCTCTTTGAGAGAATGCCACTAAATGTGTTCATGGCTTGTTTTACTTCCGTTTTGGCACCTTCTCATTCCTGTCAGTGAATAGATTAAATAATAAATATCTACACTGTGTCATAAAAAGCTGCTTAACATGACTAGAATTTGAAGTGTTATATGTGTACAATTTCTGCATTAATTGCTTTGATCACGTTGCTCTTGCTTCTCAAACTATTACAGATTAAATTGTACTTGAATCCTTTCTAATTACTGGGGAGCTAAAGCAGAGCTTTGCATCTCATATATCCGTTTTGAAAGAATATGTAACATCTTGCTTTGTAGCTGTTTAAGTAGATGTGTGAGTATATACTAATAAAAAAGAAAACACAATAGACCTGGCTTATTTTCATGGTGTTGGCAACTAAAACTACTGGTGTGGGTGCTTTCTAACATCCTCTGCAATTTTGCTTTAATTTGCTCCACAGATTCAACTAATGCATGAAATTACCAGCTTAAAGAATCTAGTTTCAAATGCTGAAGTGTACAATGAGGAACTTGAGGTGAGCCTCTCCATGAATTTACAGGTAGTAAGACTTGTATGAAACGTGCTTGGTTTGTTTAGCTTGAAATACTAAATCTGCTGAGGACAAGCTAGACATGATTGTGCTTGGGTTAATCTTAGCAAATATTAGGAAGATATATCCAAGAAACACGAATGCTTTCTGTGTAGGTTTTGATAAATTCTGACCTGAAAAACCAAACTGAGCACTCCAATCTTCTTTGTCTCTTTTTCCTCTCCAACTTTTAGGCAGAAATAAATTCCAAACTGGAACAGCTGAAAGAGAAAGAGAACAAAATAAAACTATTACAGAATTGTGTGGAAGAACTACAAAAAGCAGGAGTGGAAAAAAAGGAGACATCTTTTGCACTGGTAAACTTGAATTTTCTACTGGCTTGAGAGATTACTTTGTTTTTTTGAGCTGGATTAAATTTAGGTATAGCCTTGATATGATGAACATCTGCTTCCCTACAGGTCTTGGGACATTCTGTTTTACAAAATTTAAAATTTTAATTACTACCTATCATACAGCAGTACTCTGGGGAAGTTAAGCTATGAGAAATGCTGCTGTTTCTCCAATCTCTCAAACAACCTGATACTCTTCCCCTTAGAGTAAACTTAGTTTTCTAAGCCCCCGCTTACATTTTGACCACATTAAAATGAACACATTTACTTTATTATGGCTCTATCGATTTTTGCTTCTTTGAGTGTTGTCTTTTTCAGGGAGATTGTGATAAACTAACTGAAGAAATTCAGCAGCTGAATAAATCCCTCTTAGATAGTGAAGCCATAGCCTTGGATGCCAAAAAGGAATCTGCTTTTCTCAGAAGTGAAAATTTGGAGTTGAAGGAGAAGATGGCAAGTACTTGTTGAACTGCATTTATAGTTGTATCAAATGCTGTTAAGGGCCTGTCTGCTTCCAGGCTTGTGAAGAAGACCATCAGTGTGGTGGAGCACTCATCATTAACTTTCTCCAAATACTCTAAGTAATACTTATGCAGTTTGCGGAAAATGAGTCTCCAGGAAAGAGATAAAAAGAAAGTAAAGGCTTTTTCCATAGGAGTGGATGGTTAGTTTTAGTTTTACCAGGAGGGAAAGAGAGAGAGCAAAGAAGCAGTCTTTAGTGCATTATTAGGATGTAAGACTTCAGACCCAGTTTTACCAGAGAACAAAGGAGAATAAGAGATGTGGACTCAGAAGTGGGATGGAGCTTACTTTGAGCTTTGGAAGAGTAAACACAAAAGAGTAGCAGCAATTATGGCCCTGAACTCTAAGGCAGGTTTTGTTAGAGGACTCTGACAGGAATACAGTTGTTAAGTTGTGCCTTATTCTGCCATATTTATCAATGTCAGAGCTGGTCAGAGTGACAACAGAAAATGGTATCAGATGCATTATTTAAATGTCAAGTACATAGATTTTTATTCTGTGTGTGACTTGCATGTTGTATTGTTTTCCTGAAGAATGAACTCTTAAATAACCACAACCAAATGCAAAAGGATGTTCAGTTATATCAAAGCCAAGTAGAAGCGGGAAAAGCCAGTTACCGAAAAATGCAAGCTGACTTGCAGAGAGAGCTGCAGTCTTTATTTCAAGAAAACACAAGACTAACTTCACTGATGGAGGGTAAAGTTCCAAAAGGTACTGTTCCAGGTGGTGCCTTTTCCCTGCTCCCTCTCTCCTTCCTTTTCCTTGTAATGGTGGGAGGATAGGCAGGGCTATGGCTCTTGTCTTCCTCAATACATGGAGGTTCTGTCAGTATAAAGAAACCAGGATCTGGTATTGCTGGCATGGAGCAACTACTTGAGCATTTTCTTTAACATTCTGGAAATTGCAGCTTACAGAATATTTTGCACAGTCAAGTTAATGAAGACTGTTGGAGAGAATCTAAAATTAACTGGATACCAACCTAAGAAGTACTGACAGAATTCAGACCTGGAGCTTAGTCTTTTAATTGTTGGCAACAGTAACACATACTTTTCTGGAATTATAACTATATGACATCCAGAATGCAATATAAATCTGCTTAATTTAAAACATTTTTTTTCTCTTGCACTCGCTTATTAGTCTAAATTTAAATTTCTAGATTTGCTTTCTCATGTGGAGCTGGAAAAAAAGGCAGCTGACTTAAAAGGAGAACTAGAAAATGCTTTGAAAGAGAATGCACATCTACAGAAACAAGTAAATGAACTATCGGAATTTCAATCTCTACCAAATACTGTTGAGATGCAAAAGAAAGAGGTAAAAAAATAATCTAACCTTTTTTTCTTGGTTTTGTGTTATACTTCACTGGTAATGTACTAATGGAGGTCTATTGGGTATGAAGCTTTAAAGCAAAAGTTGTCATGAGTCAACCTGAGATTTTACGGTTAAGTTTTAAATTGTTGCTTCTAAGATATTTAATATTTGTTCCTAGGAATAAGTTTGTTTAGTTTAATGTTTAGTCACTGACTACTACAATTATGCCTTATTTTCTAGTCCAACCTTTTCATGTCTATTTGCTGTGGTCACCACTGACAACTGAATGTATAGATAAAATGGTGTTTGATCCTGGGCACTATTCTAGAACTGATTTTTTCGTGTAATTGAGCAAAGAGAAAATGTCAAGATCTCTTAGCAGAAATTCTGCTTGAGAAGTTAGAGATTTACCTTGTAAATTCTAGAAAACTTGTTAGGAAACTCTTTTATTTCCTAACAGGTAAGGGGTTGGTAGACTAAGTATGCAGTAAATGTTTTAAAGGCTTTGTTTGCACACACTTTCTAGCTTTTTTTGTTCTACAAACCACTTGCTATTAAGTATGTGCAGTGAAAATTATTCAGGGCAAGTAATCTACAAACTCATTAATGCTTTGCAAAAAATTCCAAACCCTCCAAGGGTCTACTTCCACTAATTGACAAAATGTAATTAAATGTTAACAACTTCATCTCTCTGTTGATGCCCTAAATTTTAAGCTTCTATATTGTTCATATTCTGTAATGCATTAGTGTATAACTCTGAACTCTATATGAAACACTAGTTAGCTTTCTTCACATTTTGTTCAGACTGAACCGTCCTTCTGGGCCTGGGAACAAAGGTCACACCATTTACCTCAGGCCCTGGAAAATATAAACAAAAGTGAATCAGGGACGGGGGAGAAGCAAACTGGGGAAATGTGACTTTTACCTGAAGCTATAGTTGGACAATTAACCTCCGATATGCAAACTGACCAAACTTCTATCCGTCTGAGAACTTGTGAGCGTTGTCCATCTTGAGTGTAGCTTCTGCCAGGCTTTTGCACTACCCAAGGTGTATCCTCTGAAGGCCTTTAATAAATACCCACTTTATTCTCTAACTCTGTCTCATCTCTGTTCTAGGTAGCCAGTCCAAGGGAACAGTATTATGAAGAAAGCATTGATAAATGTGTAAATGCAGTTTAGGAGTCCAGTCTTAGCTCAAACATAGGAAATAGAAAGTATTGAAGAATTAGAGAGATTTCAGGTCTTGGGAATCCTTCTTTTTTAAAGATTCTTTTTTAGAGAGTTCTGTCCCAACAGAGCAAAACCCAATGTACTGTGTATGCTTGCCTGTACTTTATTTCCTACATCTTCACGTGTACCTGGTTTTTATTATGTAGTTCTACTAAATACTGATTTAGAAACCATTATATATTAATACTGTTTTTCTGTTGGCAGATTCTTGAAACATGTGAGGAGTTACGCTTATTAAAGTTGGAAAATGAAAAGCTACTTTTGGAAGTAGCTGATAATGAAATGAGATTTAAACATATGTCTGAAGAAATTGAAAAATCAAAAGACAATCTCACAGATCTACAACTGAAATATATGAAGTCTGATGAGGAATATGCAGCACTTAAACAGCTCCATGAAGAAATAGAACAAAAATACATAGCTGCATCAGAAACCAATGAACAAATGAAGCTCCAAATAGAATGCCTATCTAAAGAAGCACAAGAGTCTAAAACAATTTTGGATGAAGTTAAATTAGAGGTCAGTATCAGCTTGCTCCTTTTTACATATGAGACTTGAGGAATTAATTGAAAGTGCTAAAAAAACTGTTTTGGAGAAATACTCTTAAAGGTGTAAATGACAATATCACTGGCTTCCTCTGGTATGAGTGGGTATTACTTATTCTGTCCCAGGAGTATATTGAAGGATTAGTCAGCTCAATGGACTCTTTATAGGCAAAGACATATAATTGCTCCAGATTCTTCTGTAATTGACTTTTTAATTATTCTTTTTCCATTTTTAAGTAATATTTTCATTATATAATTTTTTTTTTCTATCAGTGCTGCTCTCGCCTACTTTATATAAAGTCATAGAACCTCGTTGGGATCTGGAGACCTGTTAGAACAGGAGTTCCTTCAAACCAGACAGAATCACCACAGAAAGTGGCCATTAGAATGGAAAAATAAATACAAAAAATTTAAAAATAAAAATAAGTGGAGCATACATATTTTTAACAAAGCTTTGGGCACTGCTCTGGCTGTCATATTCCAGCTATGGTTTTGATAATTCCTAAGCTATGCTACAGTTTGATGTGTATGTTTTAGTAAGACTTTCACTCCTAAGGAGCCAACACAGGAAGGTTCCTCTAATGTGACATAAACAAATGCTTATTTATTGTGGGCAAGAGTATAAGCAGTGACTTACAGCGTAATAATGACCTTGCTAGCTAGCATCTTTCTTCCTTTCTAAGTTCATAAAAAGTCTGTGAGAACATGTGCATATAATGGAGTTCTGCATTACAATGAAAGTGTCTGTCCTTTTCCTTTGCAAACTAAAGCTCTCTAGCAAAATGAAAGAACTGGAAGAGAAAGAAGCAGAGCAAAAACAACTTCTTGAGCTAAGAGAAAATCTTGTTCGGACTCAGCAGAAGTTAAATGAACTGGAACAATTAAAAGCGGAAGAAAGGATTAGTGAAGTGAGAATTGAGGCAAAAGATTTGGAGATCCAAGCAGTCTTGCAGCAGCTTACAGAATGTCAGGAAGAAATAAAAACTCTAACCCAGGAACGAGATGACCTGAAGCAAAAAGGGGAGTTTCTCCAAGCTGAGACAGAGCAACTCAGAGAGGATATAAAGGACACTGTTTCAATGGTAGGAGAAAGACTTATGAACTATATTAAAATATTTGGAAGAATATAGGAGTGGGAGTTTGTGTGGTCGTTTTTAATTAAGGAATGCTTACGAATATTACAAAACGCATGTATTTTCTTTGTGGATTTTCTCTCTTGTATTCTAAAGAACATCTTGGCACATGAAGATTTGAGAAATGCACAAAATTCTCTGAAGGAATCCCAGAAAACTATCAAGAAGTTGGAAAAAAGTATTTCTGAAAAAGAATCTCAGATTCTGAGTGTTGAAGAAGCACTAGGGAAAACCATTAAAGAACTCCAAATACAGGTAAAACCTTAAGCAATAATGAAAACAAGCCCAGTTAATCTACTTGTAGTCTCTTCTGCATGTCCTTAAAAACTTTTTAGGCTCTTGATAGCAAGTGGGCAGGAAAAGAGTACTGCTTAATCCAAGTCTTGACCAGCTGCTGCTGTTTCTGTAGAGCTTCAAGATGTAATGTATAGTCAAATAAACCTCTGCTTAACTTGTGTGCCCCATGGTTGTGGATTTGAGTGGTGGCATTGGATGGGAAATGGAAGAGGAGATGAGGGTTACTTAAGTGTAGAAATGAGGCTGATTTATATTTTAAAAAGGAATTTCATTACTTATAACAGTCCCAATAAGAAGTATAACACATGATTGTCAATGGCAGCTCAGATCCTAACATACTGCAGAAGGCTGTTATATAAATACTGTAGGAGAAAGAATCAAACAAAAATTTGGCATTTGATTTTATCTTAAATTGAGTATGCTGTCTTTGTATTTTTTTTTACAGATCTCAGAAATGACAGAAGAAATTCAAATCATCACGTCAGAGAGAGATCAGCTGGCTGAGGAGAAATCAGGAAGTAATAGCTGTAGAGAAAGTGATCAGCTTCAGGTGCAAAAGGAGCAAATAATATTCCTTACACAAGAGAACCATTCATTGCAGGAGAAGCTGGAGAGTTTACTTTTGAACAAAGAGCAGCTTGGGGAAGGAACTTTGGTAATTATGCTAAATCTGTAATGGGAAGCTTGCTTACTTAAACTTTTGCTTCAGTGAAATGTTTGCAAAACATGGTGCAGAAAAGGATCGTGGTACTTGACTGCACCTCAAAAATCAAAGTTTATTATGGATTACTTGTGATAGAGGCCACCCATAGTGTTTATATAGATGTATATATACACATACACCTCTATTAGGAGAATGTCTATAAATAGAGTATTAACTTGATACAGGATAGTTATGATCTGTACTGATCTGCACACAAATGTTCGATAATTAAGTAGATGAAGTTAAAAGCTGCTCATCTGAAAAGGGTGGTTTGGCTCCTCTGAAGCGTAGGTAGAACTGACTTTTTTCCTGGCACTAAAAGGGACATTGCAAGCCACATTTGATGTAATGGGATGTGCTGATTACACTTCTCTGTGTGTGCTTTTATAGCAGGGCCTCTGATTGTTGTACATAAACAACATGTCAAAGGTGTCAGATGAGCTTTTCCTAAAGCTGCATCCTGAATGTGTTTATTTGAATCTCTTACAAAATAGATACCACAGATTCAAGGACAATCTATGGAGCAAGAGTTATTTCTTCTGAGAGAAGAGCTGAACCAGGCGCAACGGAGATTGCATGAAATGGAGGAAGCCAAGGCCAGTGAATATCAAGGGGAATCTGAAAAAATGGAGAGAGCAGATGTTACTCCAAAACCACATGACTCCCAGGAAGTCAGCACCCAGACAGAAAGAGATGATGATGATGAGGATTTTAAAATGCAACTGGAAAATCTCCAGAATGAGAGAGACCAGCTTAAAGAAACTCTACAGGAGACAATTAGCAAGGTAATAAAAGTAGTTCTCCTCCCATAGGAGAACAGCTTTAGTAGACTACTTGGCTTTTGCAAGTGTTGTTCAGGTGTTAATGACCTTGAATTGTGTCCAAAGAACTCCGAGATGCAGGAGGAGTTGAGATGTACTCATGAATCTCTCGGACAACATCAGGAGAAGATTGTGGAGCTGAAAGGAAGTATTTCAGAGAAAGAAAATAAGCTTTTGAAGGTGCAAGCGGAATTGAAAGAAAAAACTGATGAACTGCAGCAGAAGGTCAGAAGCAGTTTTGTCAAGAAAATTACAAGTTCTGCTGGGTCTGGCTACCCGTATCTACTGCAAACTTCCTTTCCTAGGGCTCTAGTACATCTGATAAGGAAACCCATTATTTATAATTAAATATGTCTTGGTGCTGAATGACTGAATGTTATTTGGACCAAATAATGCACTTTAACCTCTCCGATTTCCTAGTCTTAAATTTTATAATTCTAATAACATAAAATGACTATCTAATTCTGATGATCCTTGAGCAACTTTAGGAGAGCTTAACTCATTCTTAAATTTGTTACACTATTATGAATTTGTTCTCTACTTCTTGTTTTCATGTCTGAAGACACTGTATGCTTCATTTTTAACACTCAGCAATGTCAACTGTGGATACAGCAACTGAGGCATTTTTATGGATTTAGAATGTCTTGTGTGTTTTTCCACATTTTACTTTTGCCTTCCACTGAGTCAGAAACACTGACGTTTGATTGGCTTTTCAGAAAAATTTTTACTTTTTTGGCTTACTATGGCAGTAAAACTTTCCTTAACCCATATGTACGGACCATGCTACTGCATGATGATGCAACAACACTCTTCAATCCAAACCTCATTGCTGGGTTCACAAAAACGTTTAGGATCTTATCATTTTATTTGTATTTTCTCTAAGGCATCAAATTAGTTTTGTTCTTGTAGGAAGTGATTATAAATACCAATACTGGTTTGGTTCTTTCCAGCTCACTGAAGTCACTGAAAACCTGACTCGTGTCTCAGCTGAGTATGGCAACCTCCTGGCAGAAAAGCAACAAGCTGAAAAGGCAATGAGTGAGCAAGTGTGCCAGCAACTTGAGAGCATCACTTTACTTAACAAGGAGAAGGATGAGCTTCAGCAAATGGTAGAGACTTGTAAAGAAAGGGAAGAACACTTGTTAAAGGTTCAGAGACAGGCAGAGATTTTGAAGGACAGCCTAACAAGCAAGGTGAGGAGTGTTGGTGTTTAGTCTCTATTATGTATTCTCATGTTTTGTTACAAGTGTGCCAAACCCTTTCTCCATATAAATCCTATTTAATTTTTAACATTCAGAGGATCTTTTTTGTGCTTGGCAAACAACCACGAACATGGGCAAAGGATTTTGTCTAAGTTGCTTTACTGGCATTTAGTAATATCACTGTCTAGTGATCACAGCCTTGTATCCCACTGGATTGGTCCAGCTTTGGAATGAGTGTGAATTTATCTGATGAGTGTGTATTTAATACAATGTTCAGGTCTTGAACATGTCTTCCAACTTCTATAACAGCACTGTGTCGACAGCATGGGCTTAACTGGTTTTTTTATCTCTGGTGCTTTGCATGCTCTTGAAGGTGCAAGTGGAATTGAAAGAAAAAACTGATGAAGTGCAGCAGAAGGTCAGAAACAGTTTTGTCAAGAAAATTACCAGTTCTGCTGGGTCTGGCTGCCTGTGTCTACTGCAAACTTGCATTCCTAGGGCTCTAGTACATCTAATAAGGAAACCCATTATTTATAACTAAATATGCCTGGGTTCTAAATGACTGAATAGTATTTAAAATCAACAATGCACTTTATCTTCTCGCTGTTTTCAATGTCTTAAATTTTATGCATTCTAATAATGTAAATTGACTATCTAATTCTGAATATCGTTGAGCAACTTTGGGAGAGCTTAATTCATTATTTAATTTGTTACACTATTATGAATTTGTTCTCTACTTCTTGTTTTCATGTCTGAAGACACTGTGGATTGTAGGCTTCGTTTTTAACACTCAGTATTGACACCTATCAACTGTAGATTGAGGCCTTTTTATGGACATAGAATGTCTTGCGTGTTTTTCCACATTTTACTTTTGCCTTCCACTGAGACAGAAACACTGACGTTTGATTGGTTTTCAGCAAAATTTTGTCTTTTTTGCTTACTATGGCAGTAAAGTTTCCTAAAGCAATCCATTTATAACAACCCATATGTACAGACAGTGCTTCTGCGTGATAATGCAACAACACTCTTCAATCCAAACCTCATTGCTGGTGTCACAAGAACGTTTAGGAACTTATCTTGTTACTTGTTGTATTTTCTCCAAAGCATCAAATTAGTTTTGGCCTTGTAGGAAGTGATTATAAATACCAATATTGGTTTGGATTTGTTCTTTCCAGCTCACTGAAGTCACCGAAAACCTGACTCGTGTCTCGGCTGAGTATGGCAACCTCCTGGCAGAAAAGCAACAAGCTGAAAAGGCAATGAGTGAGCAAGTGTGTCAGCAACTTGAGAGCATCACTTTACTGAACAAGGAGAAGGATGAGCTTCAGCAAATGATAGAGTCTTATAAAGAAAGGGAAGAACACTTGTTAAAGGTTCAGAGACAGGCAGAGATTTTGAAGGACAGCCTAACGAGCAAGGTGAGGAGTGTTGGTGTTTAGTCACTATTATGTATTCTGTCACGGGTGTGCCAAACCCTTTCTCGATATAAATCCTATTTAATTTTTAAAATTCAGAGCATCTTTTTTGTGCTTGGACAAAATCATGAGCATAGGCAAAGAATTTTGTCGAAGTTTGGTTACTGATATTTAGTAATGATATTGTCTACGGGTCTCAGCCTTGTATCCCATTGGATTGTTCCAGTTTTGGAATGAATGTGTGTTTAGCATATGTATGCATTTTTATTTAGTACTTGTACATGTCTTCCAACTTTTAAATGGCACTGTATAGACAGCATGGACTTAACTAGGTTTTAAATCCTTGGTGTTTTTCACACTCTGAATAACTGGTTTGGTTTGCAAGATTTTCTGCTTTGGTTATAGTGGTTTGATGTTAAGAACACTGTAGGAGAGTGGATGAAACAAAAAATTGGTATTTAATTTTATATTGAATTGAAGAAAATGCTGTCATTGTTTTTTTTAAATAGATCTCAGAAATGACAGAAGAAATTAAAATCATCACGTCAGAGAGAGATCAGCTGGCTGAGGAGAAATCAGGAAGTAATAGCTGTAGAGAAAGTGATCAGCTTCAGGTGCAAAAGGAGCAAATAATATTCCTTACACAAGAGAACCATTCATTGCAGGAGAAGCTGGACAGTTTACTTTTGAACAAAGAGCTGCTTGGGGAAGGAACTTTGGTAATTATGCTAAATCTGTAATGGGAAGCTTGCTTACTTAAACTTTTGCTTCATTGAAAAAAATTACAAAAGTCTGCAGAAATGTTGTTACTTTACTGCAGACCATTAAACAGCAGATGTATTGTTTACTTGATATATAATCCCTCCTTTTATTTACATATGGATATCTAGTACCAGAATGTGACAAATGTTTTTCTATAAATAAAATATAGATAGTGGATGATGGTGTTCTACATTGATCTGCACATGGATGTGGTTCTAATAATCAAGTAAGCTGAAGCTATAAATTGTTCATCTGGAAAGGGTCATTCTGCTTTTTTTACAGTCTATGTAGAACTGACCTCTTTCCTTTTTCAGTGGAAGGGACATAGCACTCAACACTTGATATAACTGCATGTGCTAATTGTACTTCTGTGTGTGGGTGGATATAGATATATAGATATATATATATATAATGTTAACTTATCAGTAAAATAATCTATATGCATTGTTTTTAATATTTAAGAGGCCATGGAAAAAATTCAAGTAAATTATTTTCTGGGCCTAGATAGCATTTTATACTGCTGAGACAAGAAAAAGAGATAAGGTCTCTAGTTTTGAGATGGGAGAGGTTTGTTGTGGAGCTTTTTTGTTGTTGCTATTCCTCACTATGCTAAACCTATGACAGTGAAACGTCTGATAACTTCTAAAAGAAGTTCTTGCTTCAAGTTTCATTTTCACATGTCTCTTATTTCACGAAACTTAAATTGAATAAGGAATTTGGTCAAATTTTAACACTCTAAAAAAGTACAAATCTGTCTAAAGCAGTGCTGCTGTCTGTTGTACATAATCATCCTGTCAATGGTGTCAGATAAGTTTTTCCTAAAGCTGCATCCTGAATGTGTTTATTTGAATCTCTTACAAAATAGATACCACAGATTCAAGGACAATCTATGGAGCAAGAGTTATTTCTTCTGAGAGAAGAGCTGAACCAGGCGCAACGGAGATTGCATGAAATGGAGGAAGCCAAGGCCAGTGAATATCAAGGGGAATCTGAAAAAATGGAGAGAGCAGATGTTACTCCAAAACCACATGACTCCCAGGAAGTCAGCACCCAGACAGAAAGAGATGATGATGATGAGGATTTTAAAATGCAACTGGAAAATCTCCAGAATGAGAGAGACCAGCTTAAAGAAACTCTACAGGAGACAATTAGCAAGGTAATAAAAGTAGTTCTCCTCCCATAGGAGAACAGCTTTAGTAGACTACTTGGCTTTTGCAAGTGTTGTTCAGGTGTTAATGACCTTGAATTGTGTCCAAAGAACTCCGAGATGCAGGAGGAGTTGAGATGTACTCATGAATCTCTCGGACAACATCAGGAGAAGATTGTGGAGCTGAAAGGAAGTATTTCAGAGAAAGAAAATCAGCTTTTGAAGGCGCAAGCAGAATTGAAAGAAAAAACTGATGAACTGCAGCAGAAGGTCAGAAGCAGTTTTGTCAAGAAAATTACAAGTTCTGCTGGGTCTGGCTACCCGTATCTACTGCAAACTTCCTTTCCTAGGGCTCTAGTACATCTGATAAGGAAACCCATTATTTATAATTAAATATGTCTTGGTGCTGAATGACTGAATGTTATTTGGACCAAATAATGCACTTTAACCTCTCCGATTTCCTAGTCTTAAATTTTATAATTCTAATAACATAAAATGACTATCTAATTCTGATGATCCTTGAGCAACTTTAGGAGAGCTTAACTCATTCTTAAATTTGTTACACTATTATGAATTTGTTCTCTACTTCTTGTTTTCATGTCTGAAGACACTGTATGCTTCATTTTTAACACTCAGCAATGTCAACTGTGGATACAGCAACTGAGGCATTTTTATGGATTTAGAATGTCTTGTGTGTTTTTCCACATTTTACTTTTGCCTTCCACCGAGTCAGAAACACTGACGTTTGATTGGCTTTTCAGAAAAATTTTGTCTTTTTTGGCTTACTATGGCAGTAAAACTTTCCTTAACCCATATGTACGGACCATGCTACTGCATGATGATGCAACAACACTCTTCAATCCAAACCTCATTGCTGGGTTCACAAGAACATTTAGGAACTTATCGTGTTACTTGTATTTTCTCTAAGGCATCAAATTAGTTTTGGCCTTGCATGAAGTTATTATAAATACCAATACTGGTTTGGATTTGTTCTTTCCAGCTCACTGAAGTCACCGAAAACCTGACTCGTGTCTCGGCTGAGTATGGCCACCTCCTGGCAGAAAAGCAACAAGCTGAAAAGGCAATGAGTGAGCAAGTGTGTCAGCAGCTTGAGAGCATCACTTTACTGAACAAGGAGAAGGATGAGCTTCAGCAAATGGTAGAGACTTGTAAAGAAAGGGAAGAACACTTGCTAAAGGTTCAGAGACAGGCAGAGATTTTGAAGGACAGCCTAACGAGCAAGGTGAGGAGTGTTGGTGTTTAGTCTCTATTATGTATTCTCATGTTTTGTTACGGGTGTGCCAAACTCTTTGTCCATATCAATCCTATTAAATTTTTAACTCTCAGGGCATCATTTTTGTGCTTGGCAAACAACCATGAACATGGGCAAAGGATTTTGTCTTAAGTTGCTTTACTGGCATTTAGTAATATCACTGTCTAGTGATCACAGCCTTGTATCCCATTGGATTGGTCCAGCTTTGGAATGAGTGTGAATTTATCTGATGAGTGCGTATTTAATACAATATTCAGGAATTGAACATGTCTTCCAACTTCTATAACAGCACTTTGTAGACAGCATGGGCTTAACTGTTTTTTTTTTGTCTTTGGTGCTTTGCACACTCTTGAAGGTGCAAGTGGAATTGAAAGAAAAAACTGATGAAGTGCAGCAGAAGGTCAGAAGCAGTTTTGTCAAGAAAATTACCAGTTCTGCCATTCTGGCCTGTGTCTACTGCAAACTTGCATTCCTAGGGCTCTAGTACATCTAATAAGGAAACCCATTATTTATAACTAAATATGCCTGGGTTCTAAATGACTGAATAGTATTTAAAATCAACAATGCACTTTAACTTCTCTCTATTTTCCCAGTCTTAAACTTTATGCATTCTAATGGTGTAAAATGGGCATCTATTTCTGAAGATCGTTGAGCAACTTTGGGAGAGCTTAATTCATTCTTTAATTTGTTACACTATTATGAATTTGTTCTCTACTTCTTGTTTTCATGTCTGAAGACACTGTGGATTGTAGGCTTCATTTTAGCATATTGTGATGTCTCATATGGATACAGCAACTGAGGCATTTTTATGGATTTAGAATGTCTTGTGGGTTTTTCCACATTTTACTTTTGCTTTCCACTGAGACAGAAGTGCTAACGCTTGATTGGCTTTTAAGCAAAATTTTGTCTTTTTGGCTTTCTACAGCAGTAAAACCTTCCTTAAAACAATCTTTTTATAACAACCCATATGTACAGACAGTACTTCAACGTGATGGTGCAACAACACTCTTCAATCCAAACCTCATTGCTGGTGTCACAAGAACATTTAGGATCTTATCGTGTTACTTGTATTTTCTCTAAGGCATCAAATTAGTTTTGGCCTTGCATGACGTGATTATAAATACCAATATTGGTTTGGATTTGTTCTTTCCAGCTCACTGAAGTCACCGAAAACCTGACTCGTGTCTCGGCTGAGTATGGCAACCTCCTGGCAGAAAAGCAACAAGCTGAAAAGGCAATGAGTGAGCAAGTGTGTCAGCAACTTGAGAGCATCACTTTACTGAACAAGGAGAAGGATGAGCTTCAGCAAATGGTAGAGACTTGTAAAGAAAGGGAAGAACACTTGTTAAATGTTCAGAGGCAGGCAGAGATTTTGAAGGACAGCCTAACGAGCAAGGTGAGGAGTGTTGGTGTTTAGTCTCTATCATTTATTCTGATGTTACTGATATGCTGAGCTTTTGTATAAACTTGTTGATTTTTAATTCTTGGAGCATCATTTTTATTATGGTTTGCAAACAAACATGAACATAGCTGAAGAATTTTGTCGAAGTTTGGTTACTGATATTTAGTAATGATATTGTCCATGGGTCTCCACCTTGTAACTCATTGGATTGGTCCAGTTTTGGAATGAATGTGAGTTTAGCATATGTATGCATTTTTAATTAGTACTTGTATGGGTCTTCCAACTTTTAAAAGGCACTGTGTAGACAGCGTGGACTTAACTGGGTTTTGAATCCTTGGTTCTTTGCACACTTTTTGAATGCCAGACAATGTTTGAAAGTCTTGCATTTAGTTCTTGTCTACTCATTCTTTTCATAGTGTTTGCTTTTGAGCTTTTCACCTGTCACACTTTTCCTTTGTGGATCAAAGAGTGTATTAGAGGATTGCTTCAGTTTAACAAGTCTTACTTTTCAGTAGAGGAAATATAAGTGTATTGTCCATTTTTAATGATCATCTTCTATTTTAATTTTGTTGTGATGTAGGTGTAGGTTGATTGCCATTTCCTTTGATTCCTCTTGTTTTACAGAAGACCGAAGTTGATGTAGACTTTTTTGGGTATCATGCTATTCCTCTTCCTTGTAAATTTTTTTTTCTATGTTTTTAGAACACTGAAATTATTTTTAAACTTTTATTTCTACTTGTGTGAATTTTAGTAATTAAAAATTGTGATTTTTGGATTTGACTACTTCATAGGTTGTATAAAGACCACGGCCATCAAATTGTGATTTGTTTTTCTCCACTATTCACTGTAGATTCAGCAATTAAGTGAGACCCTAAATAGTGTATCATCTGAGAAGGACCAGTTATTAGCTGAAAGAACTAGTCTCTCTTTACAACTTAAAGAACAAATCTCATCAGTTAATCATGAAAAAGATGAGCTAGAAAAACTTCTTCAGGATGTCAGGTCTGAGAGGGACCAGCTCAAGACAGAATTGCAAAGAAATTCTGAGATGGTGAGTGTTGCAATTAGCATACCTGAGTGACTCATAACTTCTGGTCTTGACTGCTACTTAAATAAGTGTGTTTTTATTTTAGTGTGTTGAAACCAAGGCAAAACTGGAAGATGCTTTAGAACAACTGAAGCAGAGAAACCTGGACAATATTCTGGTAGACCCAGTGGATATTGCAAAGGAGGTGGCTGATGACAACTTGAAAGAAAAAACCTTGAAAATTAAGGTAAGCTTATTTTTCTGTTTTTTGTAAGGATGCACACAGGAACTTAATGACACTCACCATGGAGCATAAGCCTTTTGAGCATTATGTATAAAGTGGTTTGCATATCTTACTAAGATGCTGCATACCATGGGATCAGTTGATTTGCTGTTGTTGTTCAGTGATTGCACATCAATTTAATGTTCACAGAATATCTCACTTACTTTCATTACTGTCCAGCCACCCCAATGAAAATATCTAGTCATGTAGGATCATAGAATCATTTAGGTTGGAAAAGACCTCTTAGATTATACATTTCAACCCTTAAACCAGCACTGCCATGATCACTGCTAAACCGTGTCCCTAAGTGCCAGGTGTACACATCTTTGAAGTAACTCCAGGGTGGGTGCTTCCACCACTTCCCTGGGCAACCTGTTCCAGTACTTGACAGCGTTTTCAATTGAGAATTTTTTCCTAAAAACCAGTCTAAACCTCCCTTAGTGCAACTTAGCACATGTTACTGGACAGCAGAGGCCAGCCCCCACCTGGCTATGCCCTCCTGTCAGGCAGTTGTAGAGTGGTAATGTCTTCTTGCAGTCTCCTTTTCTCCAGGCTAAAACACCAACAATTCCCTCACACACTCCTCACAGGACTTGTGCTCCAGACTCTTCCTTATCTCCATTGCCCTTCTCTGGACACTCCCCAGCACCACAATGATGTTCCTGTAGTGAGGGGCCCAGAACTAAACAGAGGATTTAAGGTCTGGCCTTGCTAGGATACCCTTGGCCAGTGGGGCACATGCTGGCTCATGTTCTGCCAGCTGTTGACCAGCACCCCCCAGGTCCTTTCCTGCTGGGAAGCTTTCCAGACACTATTCCCACAGCCTGTAGGACTGCATGGGGGGTGTTGTGACTTGGCAGTTCCCTTTGTTGAACCTCAAACAGAAGCACTTTGCCATTTTGGTTTTGTAAAATCCCCCCCTCCAAATCCTCCCTTCCATTATTCCTCATCAAATACTAAACTGATGTCAAATAAAATCATTTCATTAAAGCCCTTCTGCCATCAAATGAGGAATTCCTCAGACCTTTTGAGTATATTTTCACAGATACAAGAAGTACTAGTAACCTGCCAAAAGCCAAAATAAACCAGGATTTATGAATGTGTATTGCTGGGTAAATTAAGGTAAAGCCTTATAAAATAAGGGCCTTGTTAACCTTGTCAAATTGTGGCTCAGGCCTGCTACTTTGGCTAAGTAGCAGGGAACTATGGGAGAGTGACCCAGCTGGAATAGGGGTACAGAGACGTGAGACATGTGCTGCATGACTGCCACATGTCCCCATTGAGGTGTATGGTGGTTGGTTGACTTGGGCTTGTTGTGCCTTAAAGCCGTGTAAACTGGTAACTGGCTAACTGCTTAAAAAGGCCTGGGTTTTGCAGTAAAGGGCTCTCCTTTGCACTGCCTGGGGACTCTTGCTCTGCATTGTCACATCTGGCACCCAAACAAAAAGAAATAAAATTAATTACAATGAAAAAGTAAACTACAACCAACAACAAAGCCCTACAAACCCAAAGTACTAAATTACAATGAAGAAATAAACTACAGTTCAACAAAAGAACTCCTTACAACCTTCAAAATACAAAGAGCAGAGCTTAAACTCTACTACAGTAACATAGAACTTTATTTAAGAACCACAAATCAACAGAAAACAAAATACCAGCACAGCTTATAAAGTTAAATCATAATGGAGTTAACATCAGCTGATCCCTTTTAAGAGCACTCTCCCCTTCTGACTTCTGTAGTAGATACGATCTTGTCTGCCTCTTCCCAATGTTCCAGTGTTTTTACTGTGAGGTGAGGAGTTAAGAAAACTGGTGAATCTTTATTCTTTCAAGTAAGAAACAATGATGGAGGGAGTATGTCAGGGGAGTTTTATACTTACTTTAAAATGCATAAGACAGACTATTAAAGATGATTTTGGAGTTGCAGTTTACTGGGTTTTCAAGCCTGTAGTGCTACTGAGCCTGCTCACTGCTTGTTCACAGCTTCCTTTTCATGGCACAGTGCTAGGACCCACTTCATGAGCCCTTTCCTTCAAGAAAGGAGAAGCAAATAAATCTGGGAGTCCATCCTGACAGAAGACCAGCTGGAAAACTTGCAAACGGGGATTTTTTTTTTTCCCTGCCCGATTTACAAGTCTTGATGTGGCCAGGCAATCTAAACCACAAAGAGAATTTGAGCTTGTGAAATTACTTGCTGGAAAACTGAGAAATTATCTGGGTTTGTGCCTGGATTAGTTTTTGTCATATCCCTGTGGCAAGTCAAAACTGAAGTCTTAATCATAACTTTGCCTGTTGTAAAAGTAGTACATACCGTAGGGGTTAGTCCTGAAGTCAGGTAATTTATTTTATGTTTCTGTTTATAGCTAATCACACTTTTCCTTATTGTGAACAAATTAATTTATTTCTCTTGCATTTAGGAGCTTCTTGAGAAATTCCCAAGTATGGGGAAGAGGTATGAATGTCTCTCTACAGTGTCTCTTAAGCTAAAGAGTGAACTGAACAGTCAGAAAGCACTGATAGCTGTGATACTGCCTCAGCTTACACTGGAGCAGAGTAAACAAGTCAAAACACTTCAAACTAAAAATGAGGAAATGAATACTCGTCTCCAGAAGTTATTGACCAAATTGAAGGTACCAACTTATGTTGAATATGTGGATGCTTCATATCACTTGGATTTGGGCTTTAGGTTTTTTTAAATAAGCTCTCAATGGTAACAGCTAGGATTTTACTCTAGCTTTGGGTTTGGAGAATCCATACATTGGAGAAAATAAGTTGATAGTAGTTGCTGTACAATCTTAGAAAACTGCAACTACTTAGTTATGTAAATCAAACTTAGTTTTTAACTGTAGTTCAGCTGTTTTGCACAGGATTATTTCATTAATGTTATTCCATTTTAATTGGAAAATGAAATTTCCTTTCTGTATTCTATAAATAGATGACTTTCTCTGTGGGGGAAAAAGACATGCAAAATGGCTTGGAGATGCATGCTTACTCTGCAAAACTGTAGTTTGATTTTACAGCCTTGAAGATCTTTCCCAGTTTGGAATCAGTTTCTCCACTGGACTAAAATTATTAGCAAAAAGGTTAAGAGTAGTTGTGAAAGAATTCCTGTTAACATATGCAGAAGTACAGTAAATGACAGAGTTTTTTCTGTTTCTTTATTTACCATGAAATATTAAGGGCTGGGGTTTTTTTTTTTGTTGGAACATGGAAACCTGCACAGGCCTGGAGAGAGAGGGTGAGGTTCTTGAGAGTCAGTGATGTCTACAGGTACCCATTAACTTGCAAGCTGACCAATATTCCAAAGAGCCTCATTTCATAACTTAACCCAGCCATTTTAGGTTCAATTTTTTTCCATAGATGGCTTTTAACTTTCATGGTTAAAGATGTTTAAGATTTAACTAGTGAGCTCTGCTAGAATAAAGTTTTAAATCAGCACAGCAATATTATTCTCATAGATCATCTGCACCTTTCACAACTCCAAGAGAAAATAAATATAACAAAGAACACCTTGTTTTTCAAAGTTTAGATTTGTTGAAGGCTGTCTAGAGTCTTTTAGACTTCTTGGCTTTTTTTGGAGTCTACAAAAAAGAGCATACTGGAAAAGTGCTGTCTCAGCTAAAAGTTTTACATGCTATTACTATAATGCACATGTGAACCTGATTTTCTTGGTCATGTGTTAGTTATCCTGGGCATTTAGAGGTTCAGAGAGTAAATAGATTGAATTATAAAATACTATATTTTGGCTGCATGCAGGGTACCAGTTTAAAACAGGCTCATTAATACATCCTGTGCTTCTGCAACAGCTTCTGTTCAGCTCTGTTTGCACAAAGAGAAGAGAGTACCACACTACTGTTCACAAGTATGAAATTGAATTGTTTGAGGAAAAGAGAAGACAACATGACCTACAATCCCAGATTCAATATCTCAGGAAGATGAATTCGAAGCAGAATGAAGTATCATCTCAAGTGTTAAACAGCAGTGAAGGGCTGCACAGTTTGCACTTGGATGCAGAGGTAATATTTGGTAAAAAAATAGACATAAAACCCCAAAACTCCTAGGCATGGGGTCATGTGGTGGTGGGAATCTAATGGCAGTGGATTTATCTGTTAAAACTTTTCGAAAGGGGGGTGAAGGAGTACAGTTGGTTTTTTTATGCTGCTAGTCCTACAATAAGTTTTGCTTCTTAAAGCAGCTGAAAATAAAATTAATAGGTTAGAAAATAGTGGGAATGTTATTTACTGATTTGCCCTTTCCAATACATACTATCCAGTACCAAGATGACCTGTTCTAAAACCATGGAATAAACTTTTGCTAATAAGCACTTTTTTTCCCCCCTTTCCACCTGCCTTAGGAATGTAGATTTTCTTGCTTTCCCAATAAGGTGTAATTTTAATTCTAACAAAACTCCTTTAATATGACAATTAGATGCTAAAATGGATTTCCTGCTATACTGATAGCTGAGAGGACAGAAGGTGTATTTAGACATGTGATAATCAAACCAGTACTGAAATTTTAATTGCCTTTTTTTTCTTTATAAGAGCATTCTCAAAGATGTATCAGAAATGGAAAATGAACTTCTCTGCATAGAAGCTGAGTTACAGCAGGAAGAAAGTGCTAGAAAAGAAACAATACAGTTCTGGGAAGCTTGTTCAGGAACTCACTGGGATACAGAGGAACTGAAAGAAGAACTAAAGAAAGATAATGAAAGACTCTTGCAAGTCTTTAAATTCTGGACTCCTAAAGTAAAGGTAAAATTAAATGTTCTGGAATCAGAAATATATTTTGTGTAAGCACTCTGCAACTGCCTATGATTGAAAACAAAACACTAAAAAGGCTCTTAAATGATCATTCATTTATTATCAGCACTTACTCATAATTTAACTGTAAGATGTAGGATTACTTAAAAGATTTTTAAAGATGTTTTTAAAGTGGAAAACTCGCTTTCTAAAAGACTTTCTAGGTAATAAATGTGAGGGGGTGTGAGGTTGTTTATTTCGGGTTTTGTTAATCTGAATTCCGGTAAATGTTGCTTTTCTTGCCAAACTTTATCAAAAGTACTATAGCCATTTTTGAAACTCAGTTAAATTTATATTTACACTCCCTTCTTTCTTATGCTTACTGCTTTCCTCTTTTGGAAACCTGGACAGCATTTTTCAGAGTTTAGTGCATCATGAACAGAATTTCACAATATTTCATCTTCCTGATTAAATCTTAAGTTTAGTCTATTTTAAGAAGTTTCTTCTGTAGAGTCAATAGTGAGTCTTGACATTTTTGGGATTCTGCAGTGTTGGCAAGGTTTTTGGAATAATTCCCTGACCCTAATATTATGTGGATCAAAGCTTTTAACAAACAAACAAAAATCTAGTAAACATTATTTCCTGACAATTGTGATGTTTTTATTTATCTGACATATTAAACATGTGGATTTCTAGAACAGTCCAATGTGTAGATTTAATTTCCTTTAGTCAATGTATATATTCTAGTTAGAAAAATCTGTGAATAATTATGGTTTTCTGTGGCTGACTTTAAAGAAGTCTTCCCAATATAGTTCCTTTTGTTTCTCTAATATTAGAGTTTAAGTTAATGCAGAAATACTGGTAAACCTGCAATACACTGTCATCTTCTCTTGTGTCCCTTCCTGCCTTCCTCTCTTGAAACTGTTCTTTTGAGTGATAATGTTACCATTTGACAGCAAGCATTGTCAAATAGGGCACCGAAACAAGAATGTGCAAATAATATAGGCTAAGGTACTTCCTGTTTCTTCACTTGCCGTATTTCTAGCAGATTAAAAAATTATCTAAAATTATGCTGTCTGATGCTTCTCATTTTCAGATACTCCTTGAACTTTCTTCAGAGCTGGATGCCAGAACTGCTAATTACAGTAAAAATGCTGATGCTGAATTAAAACAGAGAAAAGAGAAAAATGAAGAGTTGCTTCAAGATCTAAACACTCTAAAAGAAAAACTGGCCCCTGGTGGCTCTGCCAGTCTGGCATTAGAAGAAGAAAATTATAGGCTTCATAATAAATTAAAGGCTGCAGAACAAGACAAAAAGGTACAAATACTTGCCTCTAAGAATTTCTTTGATGCTTGCTTTGTAAGGGAGAGTACTCCAAACTGAAACTAAGGATTGATGGCAACTGTAAATCTGCGCCACCACAATACAAATAGAGTACACCTTATTTTAGTAGGTCTTTTATTTCCAAAGTGGAATTTTGAGCTCTTGCTTGTAACATGATTATTTTAATGGCCTGATTTCTGTACACAAATAGGTGTTCAGTTTAGAAATTATATGAAAGCTTTTATTTGCTTTTGAAGTGTTGACTTTAATAGGGTGATACTCTCGATGCTTCCTGTCAGTCTGTGGTATTCACTATGTCAGATGTGAAGCTGGAGAAGAATTCTCTATTTAATCACAGGAATTCAGAACTCATTTATTTCTCTTTTTTTATGCCACAGTTACCCTTCTCCAAAGCACTTTTTCTTTTCTTAGATGTGAGTGTTCTAGACTATTAAAAGATGACACAAAACAGTTACCTGGACATGAAGAGTTGCCATAGAGCCTGTAGTGTTGGATTTTTTTGTGTATGGTTTGGGTTTTTTCTAGTTTTTCCTAAGAATATGACCATTTGCTGTTACTGTTACTGTCTTTTGACATAACTGCTTATAATTGAGTGATTGATATATCTCAATAGGCTATGGAAGTGAAAATTCAGAAGTTAGAAAATGTAATATATGAAGTAGGAGAAAGTGTCAAAGAGAAAGAGGATAAGATAAGCAAACTACAAGCACAGATAAGAATAAGAACAGAGACAAGTGAGCTCACTCAACTGCAAGCCAAACTGAATGAGATGGGTAATTCCCTCAGGACTGCCTTAACAGAGAACCAGAGTCTTCAGGTATGAGCAAAATACTTCACTCTTCTTTCTCTGATGAAAGACACAAAGCATGTTTTACAATAGTTGTAGGTGAAACTTAGCTCTCCATAGTCGATGTATTTGTTCTGCATGGCATTCCTTGAGTAAATTCCACTTGCCTGTTTAGCAAGCAGTTTCACATTCTACCAGTGCAACCTTCAGTGGCAACATTTTGAATCCATATTAGGATACTAGAAACTTACCACTTGTATGTGATGTGTTTCTGAAACACTTCAAACATTTTAACACTTTTAAACTGAAGCATGAGCTATGTACTCAATGTGATATATTTGCACGCTAATTTAAAATTTCCAGATTTATATCTACTGAGAAGTCAGCAAAACTTGCTAAAATGTGGTTGCATGTAATACACCAGAGTAGGATACCAACTGCTTCTATAGTGCTGGTTGGTAATGTGAGCCACCTTTGTGAAAAGTAACTTCCTGCTCCTGGTCTTCTGCAAAATCTAGCATATCATAGTAAAGATACAAGGTAAACAACCCTTAAGTTCATTGCTAAGTAAAAAGCCCTTATTTTTACTAAATATTGTATTTTCAGGCAAAATTAGATAAAGGTGCTGAGCTGTACAAAGAAGAAATTGACCACCTAAAAACACAATTGGTAAAATGTGATCTGGAAAGAATGAAACAATCCAACTCCTTTGAAGTGAAGTAAGTTCAAATTTTATCTTCTTACAACTCTCAACTACTTCATTCTTAGTTTCTACTTTGCTCTTTTCCCACATAATAAGTAGTAAGTATTCAGCTTGAGGTGTTGTATGTTTTTACGGTGGTTAGAGAAAGTAAAATCTATATGCACCTTGGGCTGCTTACAAAACTTCTTCCCTATACACCCACCAAAATTTCTCAATCAACTGTGTTTAGCCATAAATGAAATAACTGTTCTGAAAAGAAGGCAAGGGGAAAGCACTAACTGAAAGCACTCTCTACTTCACTAGAGAGAAGGAATACACCAAAAAGAATTAGTCCAACTTTTGGGTGCACTTTAAATAAAATCTAACTGATAACCAGGTTTATGTAGTTTTTCTTGTATAACATGAGTGTCTTGTATTTGATAGCTCATTGGAATTCAGCTGAAACTGTAACAACAATTAAACTGAGGTATTCTGATTTTTTTTTCCCCCTCCCTTCCTGCTTCACATAGACTTGCTAATTATAAAGCCCTTGCAGAACACCGAGAACAACAGTTAACAAAGCTAAAAGAAGAACTGAGAAGAGCACACCAAGAGCAAGATGTTACTGGTAAATTCAAGATAAATAGAAGGGACTCTTTCATGTTAAACACTGAGTTTTGAGGTTAAATGTTTGAAGACCAGATTGAGATGCAGGCCTTGCACTCAAAGGGTATGAGGAGAATTGAGTGTATTGGAAGATGAAGTGGAAAGTAGGTTACATCAGCTGCATATGAACTGCATTAGAATCACAGCAGTTGTGTTCTTCTCCAGCCACGTTTGCCCTTGTGGAGGGATAAGCGGCAGTGGTGGTTACTCATGTTGCCACTTTCTCCTTGACATATGAATATCTAGTTCTAATCAAAGCTATGACACACCTGGAACAATAACTAGTTTGCCTCTAAATGGCCCAGTGAAGAATCTGTCATGTTTTTTAACATCTCCCTGGCAATGTGAATACTGGGAGGTATATTTTGTGTATAAAAAAGACTAACTGTTGTAATGGCACTTGTAACCCAGTGAGGTTTTACATATAAGACCACAAGAAGGATTAGGCTAAAAAATTGGTTTGGTATTGGTTTGGTTTTAAGCACTCTCCAAATAATGCACACACATATGTATAAATCTGTTTTCTAGTGCTGAAAGAAGCAGATCCTCAGCAATCCCCAGCACCCCTTACTTGTGGTGGTGGCAGTGGTATTGTGCAGAGCACACAAATACTTGTTCTAAAATCTGAACAAGCTAAGCTACAGAAAGAGAACTTGCAGCTGAAGAAACAAAATGACCTTCTACTGAGGTAAGTGGACAGCTGACTAGCAGCATGTCAAATAATTTGTTGTATTTATGTACATCATTAGTGTTTGTTTCTGGGAGATCTATGGAAGCAAGTAAGCCTTAATTTTACATTTCATGTCGTAAATTTTTATGTAAAGATAGTGTTTTATGGCTCATAAAGCCATAAAGGCCTTTTGAACTTTAAACTGCTTGCTTTCTTAAGAATCTTTTAAATGCTGGAAGATAGACTTGAATTGTATGTTGGAAGAAATTTCAGCTTCAAAAAAATCCTCTGAAACCAAGATACACAGCTATTGTACTGCCATATCTATCATATGTCATCTGAAAATACAGGAACTGTCGTTCAGGACCTTTTTTCTTAAAGAAACTGCTTTAAAAGCTTCTTAATTGAATGCTGGGGTTCTTTTCGTTACAGTGATGAACTTCAGCTGAAAGAGGAACTCAGGAAATGGAAAGAAAGAGCACTAAAATGGAGAGAACGATCCTCAAGAGAAACTACTCAAGAGACAATACCAAAGTCTCCAAAGAAGGTGGTGTCGTATTTCTTTAAAGAGCAAATGCCTTCACCCTGCAAGGAAACTGTTTCTCAGGAAACAGTGACTCAGGACCTTCCAAAGCCTTTGCCTCTGACTTGTCCAACGAATTTCTTTGATAATTCCAACTTGGGTATGCTGACAGGTGCGTAAGAGTGGGAGTGTCCTATAAGATTGGAAAATGCAAAATGTAAGGGATGGCCTGAGATCTTAGACTTGCATGATAAGTTTTCCTGAATGGTCTGTCATATGACTGTTGAAAAGCTGACAATCTGAGCTGTGAAGCTTCTGTATGCTCTACAGAATTGAAATACCAAAATGAATCCTTTACCTGCTGAAGAATATACAAACTTTTTTTTTTCCTTTTCTGCAGTGGAAGTGTTGATGAGTGACTTAAATGTGAGTCAGCAAAATATTGGTATTAGATAGCCGGTGCTCTAAAATGTTTCGTTTTTAAACTTTACATTGGTTTAGCACTGATTTCTGGTAAAACTATATAAAGTTAACTGCTGGTTAACTTTTTTCTGAAGTTTTTCAAGATGGTAGACTTTAGTCTTTGATGTTGCATGTGCTACTCTGCCTGGCTCCAGCTGCAATAATAACCTGTTTTGATGAGAACTTCTGTTCCTCAGCCTCACTTCATATTTCTTATATCTGGCCTGCTGACTTTTAGTGACTTTCTGCCCTCATTTTCAGAAGGCCCCAGCAGACATGTTGAAGAGTAGCCAGTTTTTGAGGTATTAGTAGCAGACGTCCAGGAAGAACATGACTCATTGTTGGCTTTGTGATGGCCAACTTGGTAATAGCACAGCTTTCCTCACAACACAAAAGCTCCTCAGAGGGAAGCTTTCATAGCTGATGTACAAAACACTAATCAAGATTAAATCACTGTATTCCTGCTGCTTGTCTAACTGAGAAAAGATTTAATGTTCTTGTCTTCTGTACAGATACACAACCTGCGGGCATAGAGTCCACAGAAGAACATCTTAAGCACTTGTTCGGGACTTCAGAGAGAGATAAAGCCCCTGATTGTAGCACCCAGTAAAGATGCACAACCTGCTAATCTGCTGATGTTCTGCTTAGGTGTTTGGGTGTGGATTTTTTTGATGGCCAAGAGAAGCTAATGTATTTGAAGAAAAAAATGGAAAAAAGGAATGGATCACAAACTAATCCACTTGAAACTTCTCAGTCTCAAACTTTTCATTCTGTCATTCCTAAAACAGCCCTTTTCTGGGGTGTTGATATTTATATCTTCAGAGTGCTGTTGACTTGGCAAGAAAAATTCTTTTTGTTTCTTAGCATGTGGTTTTTATACCATACTTTCTTTAGGCCAACAGAAACTGCATTTTCACCATAATTTTGACTTCTTTGGACACTACAACCAAAGCTAGTGATCTTCTGTTTGTAGAGCACACAATCAAAGGTTCCTCTTAAACTCCTCAAAAGTTTCTGCAGCTCAGCCAATTATGGTACCGTAAGTAACATTGAATTTTGCATCATTTTTCAATATATCTGTCTGAAGTTGTGTATTGGATTTTTTTTAAATACTAAGCAATGGACTTCACCCTCTTCTGCTTCTCCCTTTTAGTGAAGGGAAAACAAACCAGATCATTGAGGCAAGATGGACTCTTATTAACCTACTTATCTGTATTGTGAGACCTACATTTTGTATGTTTTATATGTTTTATTGACAATAAAATGTTATATGTTAAATATGTAAAAATTTTTTTGCTGTTCACTTGTGCTACGATCCAAGGATGCTGACTGCAACATTCAGTGCCTAAATGCTACCAAATTGCTATCTTTTATATGGATTTCATAATTTTCCATCATTATTACTCTTCTTGTCTCCATCCTTTATATAACCTCCTGCAGCCATTACTTGTGCAGAAGTTTACTGTTGTCAGAGTTTTATTTAATTCTTTAAGTTTATCAGAAAATGGTTAAGTCTAAAACATAGATCCTCCTTACTTTCCTCTCCTCTGTGCCCTCCACTGCTGACTAAACAGGAGTTGGGCACTCAGAACCTGCAATCAACTCCATTAAGGATGAAATCATGATGAGATGAGAAAGTCATACCTGAGGAAGATACCTGTATCAAAAGCATCATCCTTATTTTATATGAATAAATCTCTGTGATGTGAGGTCCTGTTTGGGTCACCCAAACTGACAAGCAAATGGCTACACTGACATGTTCCTGAGCATTCAGAAGTTACTGGAACTCAGGGAGTCACACAAGGATTAGATAGCTCATGGATGTACTTCTTTAGCAAAGAACCAACTTTCTATTTACTTTGAATGGTTGAAAACTGCCAGCTACTGTGCGTACTAAGAAGGTGCAAGGATTTATCTCAATCTCTTGCCTGGAATGTGTTTTGGGAAGCTTTTAAAGGCATGATGAGCCAAAACTATACAAGGTATAAATACCATTACGGAGTTGGTCGCTGCAATGTCTTCTTTCTGACCACAGCCACAGGTATTTATTTTCTGACAGGAATAAATGCAAAGTGCTGGGGTGTCTGTGGTGGTTTTTTTGTTTGTTTGTTTAGTTGGGGTTTTTTTTGAGGTTAGTTAGAAGTTTTCTGTGTTTGTTTTGATTTGTTTTTTTTATTTTGTTTGTTATTTTCTTTTATTCCCACTATGACGAACGAGATTTCCTTTGGCTACCAGCATTTTGGTGCTCTAATAAATAGACTGACTTATTTTCTTACAGAATTGGGAAAGAAGGCGTGAATATATAGATCTGCCTCTTCTAGATACAATTTCCATTGTTTTGGTTTTTTTTTGTTAATCATTGCTTGCTTGGAACAACTAAGTTTGGTGATTTATCTGGTGATTGAACTAAAAATAGCAGAGACTTACTGCAACAGGTCTGTGGCTGAATTTGGGTGGCAAAAGCTTAGGGGCAGAAGGATAAATGATTTTAGCAAATTAAGTCATTACAGGTTTTGTTTACTGGGAAGCTGCTTTAGAAGGCCTTAAAAGCTATCATAGTTTAGCAGAAAGACAGGCTAAACTGGACTTTGTGTATGTGTGCCCCAGTTTATCCACAGAAGTAGCTTTTTTGAGAACTAACTGATGTTTAGGCAGGACACCAAATCCCTTAATAATACTATCAGGTAGCTTTAAGTCTGGTGTGAACTTCTAGCTAAAAAGGTTTGTTCTAGAATTTTTCAGTCTAATGATATTAATTCTGCTTTAATATATGCATGTTAAACCACTAGTAACAAAAGATACGTTGGTAAATCACCAGTTTTAACAACAACAAAAAATAATCACAAGTTTTTGGAATTTGATAGTTTATATTGCAAAAAGAAATTGCTTGGAAAATCATGTTTGTGGCCTTTTGGTGGGAATCCTACTGATCTCTTGAATTCCCATCGTAAGAGTCAGCTAAACTGGTGATACTTTTCTGTCCTTTCCTGTGCAGGAGAAAAATCACACATTTTTTAAAATCCTGAGTTTCACTAGATGGCAGCATCTCAATATTTCAACAGGAAATTACGTTAGTCTAGAGAAATTTAGCAAATCCCAACAAGCACAGTAAAAAAAAAAAAGCCCATAGAACTTCCTTTTGTACAAGGGTCGGTAAATATAACAAAGCTCTTTGAGATCTCTTGGTGAGTAATTATATTAATATTTATTTGTAAATGCTTCATAGAATCAGTATGCCAAATGTTCATAAAACCTGATTGTTGGATTGAAAAATGTATTCATAATGCATTTTGCTTCCCACATGTTAAGGCGATTTGGGGAAGTACTCAAACTGATCCAGGTGGCTTTTGGAAAGAAGAAAAATTTTCCATTACGTTGCTTCAGAAGTCTAATTTGTTGAATGTATAACCTTCAGGAAAACAGTTTTGCTTCAACTTTTGTCAGGAAAAACATCTAACAAAACCGAATTTCTGATCAAAATAAAAGAAAAATTTATTCAGAAATTGGGACACTAAATTTGACTCAGTAATCTGAGTCACAGCATGTATTTGAGCATCTCTCGAGGACAGCATTGGCTGCTAACATAGGGAGGATTATGGCACCTTTATTTTAATTTCCCAGTGAAGTACTTGGTGTGTTGGATTTATGTGTCTATTTAAAGATTTTGTTCTTTCTACACCTATATCTATGTAGACAAAGTTGCTCAGAAGACTATGAAAATGCAGTTTTGCTTATAAGGAACACAATTAAGAAACTCCAGATACTACACTGTGATTGGAACACAGGGACATCACTTTTTAGGAAGATCTTTGGCATTTGTTTTCACTTGTTTGTCTGTATTTTGTTAAACCTAACACAGCACTTGAACAGGGGTGTATTTTGCCTTTTGGCTGCTCCAGCCAGACTATAGTAGCAGCTCCTAAAGGTTCCCTGCTGCCCCAAGCACACTCAGTGTTCCCTGAGAACAGGGAACAAGAGGCAAGACTGGGAGCTTTATTCCCCCACACTTTCCTTGCTTCACTGGGGCTGGGAGCCTGCTGTGCTGGAAGATTCCTAGGGCAACTGAGGGCAGATACCAAAGCCAAGGCATTGTGTGGAATGTATTGCAATCTAGGACATTGAAAAGTTTGTAGAGAAGCAGAAGACAGACCTGCTTTCTGAGAATACCATGGACAGTGGAAACACTTGATTACGAATTACTGTACTGCTGTTTCATCCTGGCTTTTTTTTTTTTTTTTTTTTTTTTTTTTTTGCACATTTAAGAAAAAATAAATCCAGTTTCTGTTATAATGAAGCTTAACTTCTGAGCTCAAATGCTTTTTGACTTCTTGAGATCCTTTGTGTATAACTAAAAAAAAAAGATGGGACAGCCCTGTCTCTCAGAGCCCTGGCTAACTGAGGGTCACATGACACCCAAACAGTACACCCTGGATCATGTCTAGTTTTGGGATGTTTTTGCATTTGATCCCCGGGGGTGATGTTCCCTTATCTTTGTTAAATTTCTGTGCCATCCCGTGCCTGCACAGGTCAGCACCATGGGGCGGCTGGATGGGAAGATCATCCTTTTGTCTGCAGCAGCACAGGGCATTGGCCGAGCAGCTGCTATTGTAAGTTGGAAAATGTTTGTTCTGCTGGGCCTGTGCAAGGTCTCTCATTCTAGCTTGTCCAGTGGTACCTGCACCAAACCACTTCTTGAATTAATAAACCATAGATAGGCCCAGAACTACCCAGTGAAAAAGTCAGGGAATAATGTAGCCACTGTGCTATAACATGCAGGCTTTGTGCTGTTCCAATTTATGAAAATCTTCAACTCTCAGTGAAGATGTTAGACAAGGATAAGAACAACATTTGAAGGCATCATTTTCTAACAATATAGGGTTGGTGCTGTATGTACCTTTTATTCAATATCTCTGCTGCTTTGTACTGGGAGAAAATAGAGATGATGCAGGGAATATTGCCTGGTCTAAGGCTGGATACTGTGAGGATCCCCTACAATAAAGCCAAGGTATTTTACCTATATTCATAATTGACATAACCAAGTTCACATGATACTAGCATATTGTCCATAATGGGCAACTGTAGGAAACCCTTTACAAATTTTGTTTGATTACTGTTAAACAGAATTCAAGGTACATATTAACTTTCCAGTTAGCTTGTAACTTCTTTTGACCAGTTCTTCTCCTGCTACTTCCCTTTTCCATAGCAAATAAAAAATGCAGTAGTTCTCATTATTTCTGTAATGTAATTAACAGCTCAAGAAAAGCTCCTGTAGCATTTTTGCCAGACTGGTTAGTTTCTCATGCATGTGGTTGAGAACACAGAAGTCTGCTGATCTTGGCTCTTACGTGAATCGCTTAGTCCAAGGAGCAGGTAATCTTCCAGATGGTTTCACTTTGTAAATATCCAACAAGCCATGGAAGGCTGGTATGTTTAATGTCACTATCCTCTTAAGCTGCATTTGGGATGCTTATTTTGAAGATTAGGGCTACAGTCCAAAATGTCAGAATACTTCTGACAGACTTTACTTTGTTAGCTGTTGATTTATCAGTAATCACAATAAAAAGAAAGAGACTTTTGAGGAGACCATCAAGGATGAAGCAATGTCTCTGATTAAATATTGAAAGTTATGCTGCTTTTTATATTGTTCTATTCCAATTACTTGGATACAAAGGATTTTGTAAAAAAAATCCTGGTCTATGACTTCTGCCTTTACCTGTCAAATTTCATAACTTTAACAACAGATTTAAATTAGAGTTAAATTAGTTAGATTTAAATCTAACAGTACAGACATTTCTAGTCCCATTGCTTACTAGTGCAGCTAATAAAGGCAATAATAATATCCATTATCTTAGTCTGGTTACTGTTCTTATACTTATGGATTCCTTCCTTTTGGGAAAACACCTTGAATCTGTCTTATCACACAAAGTTACATAATTGTGTACAACTCCCTGATCTGCCCAGAATGAAAACAGAGATCAGCTGCATTCAGCTTGGCTTGGCTTCAATTTCAAGCCAAAAAGCACCTGAAAAGAAAACATATTTTATTTCTGGTACGACCTGGAATATCTAAATATAAACTGCTTCTGTGTTCTCCAGGCTTTTGCTAAAGAAGGAGCCAAAGTCATTGCTACAGACATCAATGAGTCAAAACTGCAAGAACTGGGGAAATGTCCAGGTAAATGGCCCTATAGCAGGCATTAGTTCAGCTCTTACAAGTTTTGTGTAGGCTGTCTGAGATATATTCTGAGGATAGGAAAGCTTGAAAAAGACAGAAAAAATGAAAATAACCAGACTAGTTCTTTTGATGTTTGCATCGCTCTGTGCTGTGGTGTGAAATAACAGAGATCTAGCATGTAAATCAGCAAATCAGAGTATTATTCCAGACATGTGGAATAACTGATTTTCTTGTGTCACAGAAGAAGTTGATATTTGTTTGCTAGAATAGCATCCATTTCCGTTACCTTTTGGCTTCACTAGGCTAATAATCCAGGGCATCACTTCTGGAAGGTATGAAATGCTTTTTTCTCTGATCAAGAGAATATCCCACTATACAAAATGGTAGACCTAGTGTTCTATGGTCCATACTTGGCTTGTTCTTTTAATGCATTCCTTACTGTCCTGTAGAATCCATATGTCTTCAGAAATTTAATTCTAACAACACTATGTACGCCTATTCTGTTTGTACAAATGTTCAAGCCTGAAGGTTGTTTTTGTACTGACACCACAGGAACATGCTTCAAGAAGCAGGTTTTGCACAAATGCGTTTCTAATCACAAGTGGGACATTACATTAAAAAGTATTTTTTCAATATTGAAATAAAAAATAAGACTTGGATAGAGTTTACAGCTGAAAATGCTTCAAACTTGATTTGAGAGAAGAAAGTAGGTTTAAAAAATTCTTACTAAAGGCTTACAGCAAAATACACAAAATCACAGCTGGCACAGCTTTTAGCATGAATATCAGGCTCTGCCAACTGGAGTTCACAAGAAATCCCTTTGTAATTGTTTGGGAACTTGATGGCTTTTCAGGTTCCTGCTGAGAGTATTTGGGAAAATGTTACATTTTTTTTCCTCTGCTAGTATGCTCACAAGGAAATAAGTAATTTTCCATATACTAAGAGCTATTTCCATCTTTTAGACATATGATTAACCAATCTATAATTCATCAAGACTTGGCACTTTGAGGTCTTTGAATTTTATCCAGGAGTGGTAATTCCAATGTGATGTTAGTCACCAGCCTGTAGTCTGATCAAATACACAAATCTCTTCAAAAGTGTCTCTATCATTTAACTAAGGCACAGAAAGCCTTTTCATGGGCTTGTTGCTTTGGTTTTGAAAAATCCCAGGGTTTCATCTATTTCAAATCAAATTCTCCTTTGACAACACTTGGACGCTTTACAGACAGCTTTACAGTGTTTCATGGTATCATTATCTGCTGGGTTAGAAGACTTTGAGAGGCCATATCGTTCCATCTAGTGCTCAAAGTGGCACAGGTTAGAGCAGATCGCTCAGGGCTGTGTTTAATTAGGTTCTGAACATCTCCAAGGATGGCATTTCCTCTGCAGGACCCTGTTCCAGAGTGATTGCCCTCCTGCTTTTAATAGTTTATGCAGAATCGTTTTTCCTTATTAATTAAATTACATTAAGCTCATTCATAATATCATCAGCTACACATGAGAATGTGGCATGTAGTGGCACTGTAAGACACATGTAACTAGTTCCAGGTGTTATTCTATGATAATGAGTAAGAAAGTTCATTATGATTATATAGATTCTATAATTGTTCTGTGCAAGAGTATAGCAGAATTCAAATTTAGTTGGAGTGTTTTTATGGTAAATTAAGCTAGCTCATCTGCTTGTGTCATGCTGTATAACAATTAAGAGTTGATCATTTTAACTCCCTCCTGAAATTTTAAATAGCATGATATGCTGTCCCAAATTAACTAACTTAATCACTGAGTGAATTGAACTGTGCTATCCTCAGCACACCAGAAAAATACTCAGCTAATCCTCAGTCAAATACATTGAAAAAAATGCTGTGTTTTTTCTAGGCATTCAAGTACGGGTTCTGGATGTCACCAAAAAGGAGCAGATCGAAAATCTGGCCAAGGAGATTGAAAAGATTGACGTCCTCTGTAACATTGCAGGGTAACCACATTCTCTTTGCTACTACTATTTTTCTGGTTTTCCCCGTCCTCCAGAACTTTCTATTCGTTCAATGCATTTTATTTGTTATGTTTTAATGGATTTTATACTCTTAATACAAACCTCTGTGTGTTTTCATCAAAACTGAACTTTTTTTTAGTACGGCCACATATCCCAGGTCAAGATAGAACAGCTCTGGAACTCATGCTTTGCTCACTCCATGGGTACCCTGTACTGATGGCTTTGGCCCTTTGTACAGTTTGCTAGTGCTGTGCTTTTTTTTTTTTTTTTGTGGTTTTTCTATTGCCGTCATTTTGTTGCACATATTGAGTCTGCTTTGAGTCCTTGATACTTATCAGAAGAAATACACTGCTCCTTGCATTCTTCAAAGGAGCTCTTATCCTCTTCTTTTCAAGGTTGGAAAAGTTAGTTACTGCAAAGCAGTGGTGGAGAAAAGGGCCATAGAAATGTAAACCACAGACAGTAACCCACTTCATGCACTCATTCTAGGTTTGTTCATCATGGAACCATTCTGGAGTGTGAGGAGCAAGACTGGGACTTCACGATGAACGTCAATGTTCGCAGCATGTACCTAATGATAAAGACATTCCTTCCAAAGGCAAGGCTGGGCTGCCCATGACTTTTAGTCTCTGCGGCATTGTTTAAAGCATGACAGATCAGAATTGTTGCTGCTGGGACAATATACAAAATACAAGCATGCCACTTTGGATAGTGGAGCCCTTAGATCACAGTGATCCTGCTGTATAACATTCTCTGCATTGCATAATACTTCAAATAGACAATTTATCTAAAGGATATGGTAGAGAAGATTTATTTGGGGAGTTAGCCTATGTAAACTAGCTAAAATACTTTAGACTTAATGCAGAGCAGTGAGGGAGCCATTGCAATACAGTAGTAATGTATTATACTACAGCACACAGCTGCACAATACCACTACTAAAATTATTAATAAATCATCTATATTCATATTAATTTTATACAGCTCTGGAGACTACCTTGTGAAAAAATTCAGGGATGCTGATACTAACATGCTGATTAGAGCACAGCAGCTCAATGAATGTAGCAGCTTGAAGATGCTTCTTGGTTTTACACAATTACTTGGCTTAGGTCTACAAAAGCTTGTGGACTGAATAAAGTGTTTGCATTCCCATAAATACAAAGGCCAGATTTGAAAACTGTGACCATGGCTGAATAACAGCTACTCTTGCCAGTATTGTTCCAGTTCTTTTTGCTTGGTTAGTTTGGTTTTTAGTTTGTTTGGGGGTGGGTCTTTTCTTAGCTGGACTTAATTTTCAAAGTTTGGGTTTTTTTAAGAACTTCAGGCATATCAGATTTTAGGATGCCTAAAAAGGTTGTACCTTAAAGAAAATTAGCTACAATTCATAGATGCTAGAGTTTTGCACTTTAGTCTTCTCGAATACAGGAAGAGTTTGAGTGAGATCAGTGAGTTGCTGTATTGGTAGATGGTGTGGGCAGATGTCTGTGTGCTGTAACTTACTGTCATGACAAGAGGGCAATGACTAAGAGGTGGCAAACAAGGGAAAAAATCCTATCCTGGCATAGTTTGCAATCCTGACATGGCTCAAGGGGAACCGAGTGAGAATTTCAGACTCTGCTTTACTGCTTCAGTCAATGGCATCTACCCATGCCAACTGAGCTTTGTTACCCTGTGTGTCAAGTGCATATGGGGCTGTTCTGTGAGTTGCTGTGGGCTGTTTTGCTGAACCTGCAAATGGCAAAATAATTTGCATTTGAGTGACATAAGTACTCTTTTGCAGATGCTTAAACAGAAATCTGGAAATATTATAAATATGTCTTCTGTGGCATCTAGCATCAAAGGTCAGTAGCTTGCTAGAGTTCATATAAATCTTTAAGGTGATGGATATACAATATAAATATTGTATAAACTTTGAACTTAGAGGACATTCTAAATTCAAAGCTATTTCTAAATCCTGTGGAGGGATCAGTTAGGAAAAAACAAGTGAACACATTCAACTCAAACATAAATGCAAGGGCAAAGATGGAAAATTGTAGACACTCCAAGATTCTTACCTCTGAGCTTTTTCAATGTTTTGTAGCATTCTTTCTACCAGTATTTATTAACTAAAAAGATATTACTTCCAGTCCTATCTTGGTACATATATTCTTCAGAGCTATAATGAAAAAATTACAATTATGTAAGTGCTGTAACTAGGCTTTCAAAAGAAGCCTGATCATGGCTAACAGATGGATTTCTGCTGTTCCTAAATTTTTGCTGCTTGTTACATTTTCTAGACTACTCCCCAGAGTTACACTATTGAAAGATTGTGTACTTTCCTCTGTTGTATACCTGAGTAGAATTCTGGCATTTTGCATTTCAGCTAGCCTACCCTTATGGAGAGGTTACAGCTGCTACAGGAAATGCTGGAGTCCAGAAGCAGGTGCATATTGAACAATCTTGGCTCTTTTTTTTTTTCCTTTTTAACTCTGTTTCTGTGCTGCCTTAACACGGACCTTCTGCTAGGAGTTGTGAACAGGTGTGTCTACAGTACTTCAAAGGCAGCAGTTATTGGGCTAACAAAGGCTGTAGCTGCTGATTTCATTGAACAAGGCATCCGATGCAACTGCATATGTCCTGGTAAGTGTTCTTACGTTATCCTGTGATCTAGGAGCAGATGCTAGAAGGCCATATCGAGTCTGGCTTTTTTTGCAAAGAATAGACTTGCAAGTGGTAGCTGAAGTTACCAGCAGTCTACAAGAACAGGGCATGCTTGAAAGGCTTAATATAGAAAAGCTGTTATTCTGTGGTTAACTGGATGTTTAGTCTGATTAACCTAGTATCTGCACTTTATACATACATCATGCAGTATTTGAATGTTTTTTTTAAAGATGCAGCCTCGGAAGTTAGAAGTAGGCAAGAGCTAGCTAATAGTCTGACTCTTGCCTTCTACAGAAATTTAAAATTCTGTGCTCTATTGGTGGCTTTACAGTCTTTCTCCTGAGTTATATTATTACTAAGTTACACATAGGTGTTAAGACATACAAATAGACCAAGTAAACTTTTGTTGTGATTGCTGATGCAATTAATTTTTAACACTGAGTTTAACATTTTTCTTAGGAACTGTTGACACACCATCTTTACAGGAAAGAATCCAAGCCCGGCCTAATCCAGAACAGGTGAGAAAGCAATTTATTACCTTGGTCATATGTATGTATGTTTAACTCTCTTTAAAAAAAGAATATATAGCTGCACTTCTGCCCATATTCAAGAATAGTTTCAGAGTACTGTGGATAACTTAGTATTGATGTCTCCTTTGAAAGTGTAGTCAGCTTGAACTCGAGACAGAAGCCTTATGGCCAGAGCAGAACTGAAGCCTCAGAAGGATAATATTGCTTAGTGAATGTAGAGGGGCTCTCATCTATGGAAGCAACTCCAAGCGTTGGTTACAGTATCCAGTGCAAAAGCAAAGGACATTTTCTATTGTGGCGTGTGTCAGCCACAAGGAAGTGCAAAAACAGTATAGACAGGGCATTCTGGCCAATGCATTTTTCAACGTTATTTGGGATGCTTAACCATCCTTACCATATAATGGCAAGTTCTCATTTGAAGGACATGGGAATAGCTACCACCAAAAGAAGGATTTTGTTGGCTTTATTCTGGAACCAGAGATTTAGCTGCTTTCTAAAAGTCACCTAATTTTTTTCAATCTGAAATTCACATTCCTGTTGATTTTGTTTTTCCAGCTTTAATTCCCTATTTAGTGCACTAAAGGAAGTTATGACTAGAGGCCTGTTTCCAATATTGCTTTGTAGATGTCAATAGGTAAAAATAATTGGGTTTTTATTTTTGGTATACCAAATGCTCTTGTATATCCAGGCACTGAAAGACTTTCTAGCCAGACAGAAAACTGGCAGGATGGCTACTGCAGAAGAAGTGGCCCATCTCTTTGTGTACTTGGCTTCTGACGAAGTAAGTATGAACAATAAAATGTCCCGTCCCAGAATCCCATGCTACTTTGCTGCATCACAGTAGAGAGGGTATTTGTTTCAGGACAATTTACATTCTCTTTGAGCTGGATTATTACAAAAATAAAAACCAAACTATGTTCTTCTACTGAGTTCATCCAGCAATACAAAAGGTGTTCTGAATGTTGACAGTGATTGCAAGGCATTATGTATTTGGTGCCACAGCCTGGTGGTTTCATGTCACCTGAGTAAATTGACTGACCCCAGGTCATCCTGAATGGTGAACAAAATGAGCTTGTCAGCTTTACCAAGCTCACACCATGGCTAGATCGTGTTTTAAGGCCGTAGAATTAGTAGACCTACTGAAGATTTTAGCTAATACTCAGGGTAAATCTGCCATCCCAGCATAAGAAAAACAAAAGACCTGCTGTGGTTGTTACACACCAGACTCCTGATGAGCACTGCAAACAGCACCAACACTAGTGAGCACACACCAACATTATTTCAGCTGCTATAAATTTACTGAGACTAAAAACTGGACTGGATTTGTCTGGATATATCCAGCAGTCCTAATGTCCATGTCAAAATACTTCAATGGATTTAGTTCAGTATTAATGTTGCTATCTATAAGTAACTATCAGATTATCAGTAATCTATCAGTAGTCTATTAGCATTATGGAGATACTAAAACAAAAATCTTGGCTTTAGTATTTCGATAATGCTAATAATTTTGTCCAGTCTGTTCACAGGGTTTTCAATGGTGTGTAAATAGAATTCAATTTTTTCAATATATTTGGCATGCTTCAGCAGTGACATAGGGAAGAATGTCAACAGCTCAGATGCTTACCCCATATCCATATAATCTAAGTTTTTAGTTATGTCCCATTATAATTATTGGCTGACCTGGTCAGATTCTGCTCAGCTGAACAGATCTAATTAACATCGCAGTGTGAGGTATTTACTCCTGCAGGTAAGATATCTGAAGTGTAGCTTTTATAAATTTGTACTCTCAGGATGCAGTCTCATCTTAATGCCTCTAGTAATACTTTTGTCACACTTCCTTGAATTAAGTAAAAGGCTTCAATTTCTATGTTTGTTTCTATTTAGATAGTATATTACTTACTCAGGTATTTTTATACACTTATTTTTGTTTTACAAAAAGAAAGCACATTTTTTTAATTTAAAGAAAAAGTGTTTCCTTGTAATTAAGACCTGTGAAAAATTACTTGAAATCATTGTTTATTTTATGTAATTTCAGTCTGCCTATGTGACTGGTAATGAATTAATCATCGATGGAGGATGGAGCTTGTGATTGACTCTACTTGCAAATGGAAATTCATATTATGATGGGCAAAAAATGAGGATGGTGTTTCTTGCAAAGATTGAGATCATGCATGTGATGTCTTTCCCAACAAATTTGCTATCTCTAGATTGATCTTACTGATTAACTTTTCCTTAAATAGAGAAACACTGGAGTAAAACATACTTCATGTGACTTCAATTTATGCTAACTCCAAAAACATGAAAGAACAGCAGTTTAATGTTTAAGATTCAGGAGGCCAAAAATATTATTCAAGTTACAAAATCTGAGTTGTGTTTTAAGCAAGATCTGCGTGAAAGGAATTAACTATTATCTTTATTCTCCTCTTAGGAGGTATTTGGAAATTAAATACAATAAGATTTTCAAGTACAGGAACAATTATGCAAGGGCGATATTCTAGCAGGTATGGATGGGGGTATATATGAGAGGAGTATTCTTACATACATGGGTGAATCTTCATTAATATACTTGACTTGTAGCACAAAAGCAAAAGGAATGAATTTTACCACTCTAGATAGAGCCAATATATTTGTCTCCAAAATGATGTACTAATATTGGACAAATTCTGTAAAATCTGTTGCTAGGTGCTACACTTTAGTGCTCTATGCCTTATTCTCAAGTACCAATACAGCTCACACTAAAGCACAAGGAAAAATGTCTCTGAACAGGACTGTTTCTACAAGAGTGTGTGCTGATGTTTTTATTGTGATAGCACATGGTAGCTTTGATTCATGAAATAGAAACCTGTTATTGTCAAGTTTCATACTCTGGGAAGAAACATAGCCTGATCCAGAAATCTAAGGCAATGAATAACCTGAATTCAAAAAGCATTTGTTTTGCTAACATACTGCTTAAAACCAACATGAATTACATGGTCTGACTGCCTATAAATATGGTTACCTTTAACATATCTCCATTTATCTAATTCATAAATGAAACTCTATGTAATTTAATATATACCTTCATATACATTATATACATATAAGAGTGAGGGAGGAATTAAGGATTAAATACTACTTAACATGATTCATCAGTAATCAACACACAGGAAAAATGTACAATTTGTCCGTGTGTTTCTGTAACAACATAAACTGCCATGTTTATAAAATTACCGGTTAAGCTTTTCAATATCAGCTGAAGCATTAATATAAATTACTTGATTTCAAAGATAATGAAACACATCTAGTTAAAATCTGGCCTCTTATTTTAAAATAATTGTAAATCTAGATTTTACAAATGAGAAAAATATTGTGAATGTTGATTTCACTTGGCTTATTATGGGCTTAACGTTTACCTTTAATCATGGCTGGAGCATTCTGAGCTTGTGTAGTTTGTTTATGGAGTTTTACAGAATCTAATGTTTCAATCAAGTGACCCTGGCAGCCAAGCAGGAAAAAGCTGGGGCACAAATCCAAAGTTTCCCAAAATGGCTCCAAAACTGTTCACAGACATAAATTCAAATATTAAAAATTGAGGCTGGCAGGACATGATTTCAATGGTTTCAGAGTTTAATATGAAAGCCAAAGTCCTTCTTTTGTAGTAGGTGCAGAAGGCTTACTTTGAAAAGAGAAAATTTCCCCACTGCAGTAACATAGGGAACATGTACTGCATATTCTGAAAATATAATTAAGAATCTGAGAGAAAATTCATTATACTTATTGCACATTGACCATCATCACTTAAGGTTTCTAAGCTCGTTTAGAAGTGGTTGTAGATGATTATAGTATAGGGTTGCTGCTCAAAAATGACTGCTGCTGCTGTTGTTGTCAAAGCACTTGTGCAAGAAAATAAGTACCACTTGCCTTTAAATTGCACTAAAGGCACAAAGGGCTTTTTTAGTGGTAGGCCAAAAATCTGGTGGACCAGAAAAGTAAAAATCAGCAGAGCTTGCTGCCTCTTGCGGTATTAGCAGTGCTTTTCATGGAGGCGTTAACAGTGGCAACTCTGAAACTGTTCCAATGTCATGAGGTTTTTCAGCAGACTTGCAGGAATTATTAAAGGAAAATGCTTCTTAATGCTCTTGTGACCTAATTCCCTGGTCTGTTTCTAATGGAATTGGGTAATTCTTTTTGTTTTCCTTTCATACCAGTGATAATATAAAGAGGCTTTTTGACTTTTCACATTCTAGGTCAAAATTTTCTCTTGTGCAGGAGGGAGGAATAGACTTCCCTGATTCCGAGTCCTTCTGGAAAATTTAATCTGATCAAGAAATGCTTTTGTTTTCTCTTGGATTTGTAGTCAGCTTAGTTTTGTGTGATGATACCAGGAGCAAAGTAGCAACATGTGGTATTTGACTCGCCTTTCACATGGACTCAATGCAGCTTGCAAACTGAGGGTTGAAAAAAAGAGAAGGTCGGTGAGAACATCTCGTTACCTCATGTGCACTTACAAATAAGGTAGATGAACTTGCTTTAAGAAGTCAAAATGTCGGGATGGAAACAACATAAATATGCAAGCTGTGTTTGTTCAAGGTGGTTTTGGAGATTGGTTGGTTGGGTTTGTTTTTTAATTCTCCTGCCTGTGCCAGGGCATTTTGTCAGCAGAACCAGCATTAGCTCCTTACCCTTTGCTTGCACTAAATCTCCAAGTCCTCCAGTGCTGTAGCCTGGATTGAAGGATTGCGTGTGGCATCCCAGAGCCATGGGAAAGACAGCACAGAAAGCCTTTTTCGTGCATACTGCATGCAGTGAATCTCATGGGCGACTGGCTACGAAAGAGACAAAAATCTTCCTCCTGGGTGCCCTGACGGGCATCCAGAGCCTTGGATGGGCTCAGGTCTGCTCCATCGCTCCCACCACCGGACAGCTCGGACCAGGGCCCGTCTCCTGCCGCGCTTCCCGCGGTGTCCCACAGCGAGGCCTGCGGGAGCCCTGCGCGGCACCCCCGGCCGCAGCTGCCGGCCTGGCGGGGCCGTGGCTGCGGAGGCGGGCCTGGTGCTCCAGCAGCAGCAGCAGCAGCAGCACAGCGAGGGAGGAGAAGCCGGAGCCATCAGCGGGCTGTCCCCGCTCGGGGAGCGGGTCCCTGGCAGGCGGCCCCGCCGTGCCGCAGGTGAGCTTTGGGCCCCTCGGGTCGCGGTGCCTCCCATCCCTTGCAGCAGGAGGGGTGGGAACGGAGAGCGGGCGTGGCAGGCAGGAGGCTGCTCCCGGGTTTGCTTGGCGCCTTTTTGTGAATAATGATGGTTTGGGTGTTTTAATCGTTGTTTATTCTGCCGGTTGCTGCGTGGTGTTTGCGGTATTCCGTCTGCGTGGCTTTCTGTACCGTGTGTGTACAAAGCGGAACGCTGAGAGGCACCGAGGCAGCAGAGCTCACGCCATAGGCATGCAGTGCTGTGCCTGTCAGTCAGCGCTCCCTCACTACCCATTCAAAAACAACTGAAAGAGAGGATATATGCAAACCTTTCTGCTTTCAAAACGAGAAAAGTGAATTTTACAGGGAGGTACTAAAATGGGTCTGTTACTGGTTGGTTTCCATAGGATGGACCTTAACCCTGAGGTATAAGTTCCTCTCAGTGATTTCTCAGTCACTGATTTTTGTTGGCATGGAAGGTGAAATTGAAAAACCAAAACCCTCCTCCCCCAAAAAACCCCAAAACCTGTGAACTTTCAAAAGACCCATGCTGACATAAGTACACTAACTACTCACTTTGGTCCTGTTGATCCAAAGGACAGTTCTTGGAAGTAGGTTCTTGATCCTGCCAACAGAGTGAAGACCTGCCACAAACCAGGTAAGGACAGCACTGTTAGATTCCTTATTCATTCCCTGAAACCATTCCTGTTAAACAGAACGTTCAATATCCCTGCTTAGTCCATATTGCCTGTCCCACACTGCTGTGAGCAGCACTTTCAGGAGCTGAAGCTGTGGAGAGGTGGACTTGACATTCTCAGAAATATTAATTAATGAATTAACTCTTAGAAGTATTAATTTTGTATCACCCGCTACATGACTGATCTGGGATGTTGCTTGTGCAAAGCTGGATGGAGAACAGTATCCTTCTGTCCTTTGCTTGCACACAAACCAAGTGCAAAATTAAGTACATAGATCCACCTTGGGAAAAGTGGTCAGTGAAGGGAAGGAGGGAGGCACTGGTAGGTTGCTGATACTTTCTGTTCCAGTTAGGAGGTTTGGCATTTGTGGATTCCCAGTCCCAATGAAAGAATGAAAAAACCCAAAAGTATCACTGATGCCATTAAAAAAAACCCTAAAACCACAACTATTTGGTTCAGCAAATACTAATTAAAAATACAGAAAAGTACTGAAAATTGAGTAAATAAACACTTTACCTTTAAATAGGAAAGGGGAAAAAAGCAAAACTATTAACTTATAAGACACTGAAAGTGTTTGCCTATAACTCTGTATTCTGCTGTGCCTTGGTCATGCCTCAGGCAAGTTTCATATCAGAACAGCTCAAACAAAACTTCATAGGTGTTAGAATGGCCCTTGCCTTTATGATATCAGCCCCTCCCACATATCAAATATTTCATTTTAAACTCGAGGCTTGATAATTGTGAGAATCAGCTCTGACTTACTTCCAACCATCTAGCAAGAAAGGAATTTCTTGGCTCAGAAGTTCTGGCTTAACTTCACTGGTGTTTTGTATGGCCAGAGCAGTGTAAAAGACTTGAAATAGATTTAGCTGATGGAGAATATATATCAGCTTTTGCTGTAAGAGAGAACACTATCAAGCCTTGTCTCCACAAATATGCTGCCCCTGCCTTGATGGCTCACACTTGTGAAACTACAGTAAAAATGTGTGCACCAAAAAATATCTGACATACAAAAGAGTACACTGCCATGTCTCTTGTTAGAATCTATGGGACAAGTAGGGGACCAGTTAGAATTGAGCAAATACAATGATAACTATCCACAGATTACGTGGATCTTACTTCCCAGTCTGAGAAGTACCTCCATGGGATATAATGAGTATAAAAAGAGCCATGTTTAATCAGGCTGCAAGCTGTGAAAAGTCCTGATCTTTATTCAAACAGGCATTTTCACTTTCTTACATACTCAGTGTGTTTGTAACTAGTAGCATCTAATAGAAACACATTGTTAAAATTCCTCTGAAAATCAACCTGGATCAATCAGGTTTGAGTTAGGGGAAAAGTGTCCCCTCCTCAAGTTTTAGAAACCTCTTAGAGTTTTAGACACTGTAGTTGTTCTAACTTCATTAAATGTCACTTGCACTGACATGTACACAGGACATTCTGTGACACAGAATGAATGGTCCCGCTGAGTGGTGCTGACAGCAAATAATCTTTACTATGTACTGAAAGGGGGCATAAATAGATAAAGATTACAGCCATAGTTTTAAGAAGGAATTAAGGGGTTATCACAGATAACTGTGATTCTAAAACTCAGGGGTTTTTTGGTGGTTTTTGTTTTGGGGTTTTTTTTGGCTTTTTGTTTGTTTGGGTTTTTTTTTTTTTTGGTTTGGTTTTTTTTTTTCTTGTGCTTGAATTTCTAAGCTTAATACTGTTCTTCAGTTAGTTTCTGTCTCTTATTCTTAGGTACAGCATACAGAGAGACACAAAAACCATTAAACCTGAAAGTGGGCTGAGAGGATTTTTCCACATGGCCTGTGGGGAAAAGACACCACTGAGAAGTCACCCATTTGGAAAACAATGTTTATTTGCTTCTCTTTAACTTTTCCACCTTTATTTCTTTCTTTAGGTTTGCAACAATGGTAAGGGAAGATGTAAATGACAGTGAAGATTCTGAACCATCAGTATGTGAGAGAAATGGCATGATTCGCATGCATGAGCAAAGTGAGGTAATTAACTAGGATCCTAAAGTATCGTTCTAGTAAGACAGAACCCTCCTTTTCCTTTTTAAGAATAAAATTATTAATGTAAAAGGCACTTAAAAGTAAGCATATAGTATTGAGTGTATCTTATATAGATGTCAATATGATACATCCTTATGCACATGGTGATCACAGAATCATGGGGTAAACGAGTAACTCCATGCTGAAAACTCATGAGATTTATGTTCCATTCATGACTCTGAGTAAGGAATATAATACATATATATATAGAGAGAGAGAGAGAGAGAGAAAGGGAAGAGACAGAAAAATAATCAGAAATGTGGAACTATTACTGGAGAAGGGCCAAACCACATTATAAGCATAATTCCATGTCTACAGTATGACAATATGCTGACATGAATAATCATACAGGAAGGCAGATGATTAACTTGTCAAAAATAATGCTAAAATTAAGTGAGACATATCCAAAAATGGTCAAAAAGTGCTTTGGTTATAAATATGGACAAGTAGATGTACCAGTATAAGAGAACAGCTTCAAGGAATGATTCCAGTTACAGTATTTCTGCATCTCTACTTTGACTTACCAGCTTGAGCCTTCCAGCAATGGATCATGTGAGTAAAGCTTGTGCTGGCCAGCTGTGCTATTTCTTTCCTCTTTGTTTTTTGGTTCAAGGATTTGCAACAGTAGTTATTTAGGAATTATATTAAAACTACCATCTTCCTGGAATGATGCAAATCATTCATTCTACTGTGAAATCCAGTCTGGAAGCATAACCTTATCAAACTGTAGAAAATATTAATAAGTGTTTAGTTTTGTACACAAGACAAGCTGAGCCTGGCCTGCTATTATTGTTTCTTCATCAAATATGCAAATATTGTTACTGCACAGGTGCTATATCTGTTGGGACAGGAGCCCTGTCAGGTGCAGATAAAAAGGCAAATGTCCTGCAATTTCTCAAATGCAGTTCTTGGTGCCATGCAAAAAAACCCAAAAACATAGGGCCAAAAGTAGCAAAAATTACATCAAAGCTGGACATTCTTGTAGTGGTTGTTCAGTTAATGTGGTCACCTGTGGTCCAGTGCATCTCAGCTGACTTCAGGTGGTGCACACTACTTCAAATACATACAGTGCCACTTCTGAGGGAGTCTCCTTGTTTGCCTTCAGCAGGGACCAACAGCAGGAGCCAAAGGTACTGATGGGAATGCACAAACAGAAGAAACTGCTCTCTTGAACCACTGCACTCAGCAACCTCCAGAACCAACAGCAGGGTCTTCAGTTCCTGCAAGGACATGGAGGCAAATATTTGCTTGTCCTCCTCAGGGTTTACTGGCCCAAACAGTGACAAATGGTAGGTAAGAGAGAGTTTAATGAAAATGAGAAGTACTTGTTTCTCTGAATGGGATGATATCTGTCTACTGTCCTTAAAAATAATGAATGGAAGTAGCTGTGTTTTACTTATCACACCATTACTTGAATGTTTTAGCCAGAGGGAATAAAAAAGATGAAACAAAGGTTTGAATGTACAGTTTTTGTCTCTCCAGTCTCATATGTTTACTATGGTAGGTATGTTTTTGCACTGCAAACTATTTTTATCAGAAGACCTCCTAATTTTTGTCTTGATAGTTTGTCCTTAGTACCACAAGCTTGCAAAGCCACGAGTCCTCACTACAAGGCAAACTGATCTATTTTGCTTAGAATTTGTCCTAAACTGAAAGCTCCCAAAAGACATGCCTGGCTAGCCAATTATTTAATATTTCTCCTAAAAAAAGACATTTCATGTGTCTTTGATTGCTTCCACAGCCACTTGGAATTCTTAGGCTTTTATATTTGGAAATCGAATGGTCTTCCTTTGCCACCTGTCACCTTCAAGTAAGATTAAGAAAACTCCAATCTGAAAATGCAGGACATTTATTCAACACTTTTTTTTTCTTCTCCTTCAGTCTTCTGTTTTACATGCATGTATGCCTGTTCTCATTGGGCAACTGTTGGAACAGAATTGTGAACCTTGAAAGAGCATAATGTTTTCACATGCTTCATAATATTTTCACACACTGTTCTCATAATATTTTTCAGGATTTTTTCCCCTCTGTATTATCCTGCTTTGATGGCTGTATCAAGGGAAGTACTTGTACTCCAGATGTCCAGAGACATGACCCTCTTCACCATTTTTTTTTCCCAGGGATAACAATGTACTGCACAAACCCATTCAGCCAAAAAATTATGCTTCAGTTCTTTTAAAAATTAGACTAGAGCTGCATTCATCAGTTCAAAGATATGCCAGGCTGTTCAACAGTAGATTTTACTGTGGTTCTGAAATAGCTGATGGAAAATAAGCAAATACAAGATAAATTAGTGAAAGTCTTTGCTGTGAGTTTGGAACCTGTGAAGTGCTTTTCACAGCAGACCAAGGTTCACTAAATTTATTTTGATATTTAATGATGTTCCTGTTAGTAATTTTAAAATATTTTAGCATCTATAAAATGAGAACATCAGTCTAGGGACCATCAAAGATTAACTGCATTATAATTATTTTTTAAGGTAAGTAATTTCATTTCTAAAATGTCATAGCTAACTTTTTTTCTTCAATAGAAAAAAAAAATGTGATCCAGCAGTACAGTTGTTGTTGAGAGATTATTAAATATTAATTATTTTTTGTTTTGTTCCAGTTGCATTTGTGATCCTGGTTTGGGCTGTGGTTTGGTCCATAACTGGGGCTGAGTGTCTCCCAGGTGGAAATCTCTTTGGAATTTTGTTTCTTTACTTCTTTGCTGTCATTGGAGGTAAAATTTTTGGACTCATTAAAATACGAACACTACCCCCTCTCCCTGCTCTTCTGGGTAAGATATCCTTCCTTCTTTTCTTCCTGCATATTTTGTGTTGTTTAAACCGTCAAGTAGTATCTGTATGGGTAGATGTGTTTGGATTGGGAACAAATAAGCTGTGTCACATTCAAAATCTGTAGCTTTTCCAAGTTACTTTTTCTGGTCCTCTCTGGAAAGGTGCAAAATTGTTCAGACTGGCTCAGGTAAAATTAGCTAATGCCTTCTTGATTCTGTGTGGGTCAGAGAGCTGTTTGCCTACAGACTCAAAGTTTACTGTCCTTCTGTCATGGTTACTTAAAATTTGGGTTTTAAGTTTACCAAACAAGAATCTTAATCCAGACATCATCTTACATTGAAATAGTAATCTCTTTGAAAAATTACTGCTATTTCTTTAGTATCTCACATAACAAAAATGTTTTCCAAAGAAAACATTACAGCAATTCCCTACTACTGGAAGTCCAAAGGATTTCTTTCTTCTCCTTCCTTTATCTCAAGATAATTAAAACCTGAGAAAATAAAATTACAACAAGGAATAATTCTTCTGCAGAGAGTTATTCTGATTCAATCATAACTTTTTTTTTCACATCAGCATCCTATTTTATCTTACATAGAAATGCAAAATAGAAATTGAAGATGAAAATAATGTTAATTCTGACATCTTTAAAATCCTATCTGGTTTGTTTCCTAGAGGAGGTTTTATAGTTGCTTAGATGAGTACAATATTTTGAAGTGCTGTGATGTCAGTGAAGCTGGCAATGAAGCTCCAGGTTCTTCTCACCAGCTGTATGCTGTCCCCTTGCTATCTTTAGTGCAGGAATGAGTAAAGCTGCTGACAGACGGTAAAACTCCTCGGCAGGGTGGGCCTGCAGTGGCCAGGTGTGACTGTAGCCTGCACTGCTGGCGTTGTGCCTCACACAGGAGATCCACACACGGCTCTGTCCAGGCAGCCTGTGTGCTCTTGTGCTGCCTCATTTCACCAGAGGAAAAAAAATTCAAATGAGAGGGAGGGAGGTTTTGCATATGGCATGCATGCCTGCAGTATGAACATGGAATGTCACACGCAGGGAGTCTGCCCTTTCTAAATAAACAGCCCTCTTAAACAAATAAAAGTATTTCTGACCATTTGGGCTCTGTTTGTTTGGGAGTTTTTAATTACATCTGTATCTAAAATCTATGAGTTGAACACTTAAACTGCTTGTCAGACAGGTAATACTGGACAACAGAAACTTCAGCATGACAGCACATGTCTCTTGAGTTGTTTAGGACAGAGTTCATTGTTCTGATCCCCAGTCTTTGAGGAAAACTGGAGAAATCTATGACTCAGAAGACAAGACAGGCAACGTCTGTGAATATTCTGGTTTTGCATTTAAAATACAAATCACGTGCTCTTACATGCCTATAACCCACTTTTGCTAAGGTCCAGTAGAGTGTAAGGTGACTGCCTGAGCATTTAAGCACCTTGTTGTGAGCCTCTCTCTCAGGAATAAAGGAGTGAAATTGGTACTGAAACAGCCACATAATATATTTTGGGTGCATGTTGCAGAGAGGTTTCTGCAGCAAGAAGCACAGAGCAAATCAGTTGAGATATCCTTTAAGGTGGAGATTTTTTGCTTTGTTAAGTAGATTCCGAGATCAGGGTAGCTCTAAATGTTGCAAAGAGCATGTGATCACAGTGCCAGCCTCATATAATTGTCATGAGGTCCCACAAATTAATGATGATACTGTTTTTCTGAGAGGTGGTAGAAAGGACAATGTCCTGTGACAAATCAAGTTCACAGTCAAGGCTCACACTGAGCTGGGGCCAACCTGAACACAGTGATTTGTTTACTTTTTGTCTTTTTTTAGTTTCCTGTTTCTAAACATGACTAATATAAAATTATGCCACAAAAATGTATCTTTGAATCATCAGGATTCACAATGAATCCTCTGTAGGTCCGTATTTAAATTCAACTTTTCCAGTACTTTTCCATATCCTTCCAGAGCTATGGCTTCGATAGCCTTTCAGGAAGTCTCTGCTTGGACAGTTTTAATAATATTTGTAAAATGTTGTGTCTTACAAGTAGCTCAAATAGAGGATAAAACAAAGTTTCTGATTTCCCTTCCCTTTTTTGCCCCTTTTTTGTGTAAGAGTCTCATTGCCAGAGCACTTTAAAATGTTTAAGTTAGTCCATGATGAGCTGGTTTAGATTATATTTCCTAATGATTGCAGCATTATGGTTCCTGTGATACCTGCATTTCTTACACCTAAGATGATTCCCAACTTCTGAGATAAACACACGATATTAGATCATCTTCCTATTTTTGTATTTAAACAAGCTAACAAGAAAAAATCTCTAAGAATACAGAGGTGTCTTTGCTTATAAGTGTGACCTGCACCTGGAAAACAAAGCTGAGTTCTTTTGGCTCCAACTAAAGCTGTGTATCAGCATCCTGCTGATTTATTTATTGGTGACTGGCTGTGTTCTGAGGCCACTTTCACTGCTTTAAATGTGTTTATCTCTTCTCATGCCTCAGTCCCATTGTTAAAACATGGCTAATAACTCGGAACACAAATTGTTTCTTTTTCTCTCATAAAAACATGATATGGCGTCTATTTTTAAGAGTGCTCTGCAAGCTTTTCTTGTGCAATAAAAATTCATTTGACAGGAGCTTATTTGTTTTGACTTAAGGGATGCTACTTGCTGGTTTCCTAATCAAAAATACCCCGTTCATCAGTGACTTTGTCCAGATAAACCTACGCTGGTCTGCAGCACTGAGGAATATTGCTCTTTCCATTATCTTGACCCGAGCAGGACTCGGCCTGGATCCAAAGGTATGGCACCAGCCATTTGTGTGTGGTACACTATATAACAGCAATCAAAAAAAATTGAATAATTGGTTCCATTAAGAATATTGAACTGCTCAGTCTTGGAGCATCTGCATATTAGATCATTACAGAAAGCATAATTTCTGTTGTATGATTATATGTATGTTAATATTGGCAGCTGGATTTGTACAGTAGGCAAGCAAGCAAAAAAAATACCCGAAAAAAAAGATTTTATGATTATTTTAATTTCCTGAATTTTGTGAGTGGAACATATTGAGGATGTGTGCACTGTCACGGTCTGTCAGGAAGAGTTTACGCTCCCTGACAAACTCCCTGTTAGTTTATACTGAAAATTTGAAACAATGCAAGGGATCCTCAGTCCTTGAAAGGGAATGTTTTTGTGTGGCCAGAAATCCAAAAATCCCAACCAATCAAAAAAATGTAAGCCCTCTGTGACTTTAACTTTTTTTTAAATCATTGCCATTTTAATGCAAATATGCTAATTGCAAAGATGAATCCTGCTGCACTACTGAAACAATGATTTTCATCACAATGAAGCCTGTAGCAGTCCTGTGAACAAAAAGTAGTCTCTGCACCCTAAGAAACATGATACTTCATAAATTGATGAAGGCAAGGTTTTATATAAAACTTAGATAAAGTTTTATATAAAACTTAGATAAAGTATGGATAGTTTAGAACATCTAAACTGATTTCTCTTAACCAAGAAAAACTACAGATTTGCCAATGCTACAGTTACTTAGGAAAATAAGGTTTTGTTAATATTGGAAAATACCTGTTTTCCTATATTATCATCATCTTATTTTCCAAGACTTTGAGGCTTGTAGGAGCATGAACTGTGTGTTGTTGACACAGCTTGGATGCCCAGTTCTGTGAGGCTGCATTTCTTTCTAGTCATAACAACTCAGCAAAGCTGAGGGAACTTAATTTTTGACTCCTTTTTCTTCCATGTGGTAAGAAAACTGTCACTTGGACTCTGTGTGTGGTAATGCTTTGATGCAGTTACAATTGTTCCTCATGTAATGGAAACTCTGAAGACAAAGAAGTCAGTTTCTCTTCTCAGTCCTGATTATGCTGGAATAAACTGGACTGGTAAAAAGGGAGCTCACTGATTTTTATTTCTTCTTTTTTTTTTTTTTTTTTTTTATTTCATGTCAAAATTAGGGACCTGTCCTAGCAGGCTCATGTTTGTGACTAAATATTAAAGACAGCTCTTAGAAGCAAATTGTGCAATTATGCCAATTTAGAAATTTTTTTTTAAGTTGCTTAAGCAAAAGGAGCTTAATATCTGAATATCAAGTGAGAGACAGACAGCTGAAAGATGCTTGGCTCCTTGTGTCAAGTCAACATAGTCCTGCAACTTTTCATGATTTGTTCATAGATTTTGGGGCAATTTTTGGAGGTGCTCGTGCAAATTCTGGGATTACAGTAAAATCTTTTATGGATGGAGCAAATGAGAAGAAGCCAAACAGAATTTTCTGTTACTCCTTCCTGTGACATTCAGGAATCTTACCAAACTTAGATTCACTGCCACACTTGAAATTTTATATCCAAATCTGGCTGGGCTTGGGCTTATCTCTAGTTTAGGCCATGTCATGTCCTATATGCAGCTCAGACAGGATTCTTTAACAAGCCATATCAGATTGCAAATGTTTTTCCTCTCTGTGAAGCCAAGGGTACTGACACTATTGTGCCTGTATGATTGCAGGCTCTTAAGAAGCTCAAAGCTGTCTGTTTACGGCTTGCTTTCGGACCATGCCTCTCAGAAACAGGCACAGCTGCTGTCCTTGCCTACTTGTTCCTGCATTTGCCATGGCAATGGGGATTTATATTAGGGTAATGTACTGCCTTTTCTCCTGTAAGACAAAAGTGCCGGTTTCCAGGCTGCAGCCCAATGATCCAGCTGTGGTTGGTTCTCTGTGCCAAGCAGACACCTCAGTTCAGTGCCATTTGGGAGGCTGTGCTCAGCCCCTCTGGTCTTCTGCCTACCTTTTATGTCTGGCTCTGTGGCCTACATAAAGGTCATATTTTCAGGCTGCGGAGGAGTACTTGCATCATTACTCTTCTGTGTTTGTGACCTGAGCACTTGAAGAAAGAAGGATGGTGCAATCCTTTTGAGTCTTGAACCACAACAAAGGAGGCTTTTAGGGACAGAAAATTATACCACAGTTTGGAGAGTCTTCATACTGGAATTCAGAAATTCCACACAGAGAGATGCACATAGGACAGCCTTCCTGTCGCAAGTCAAGGATAAGGCATAGTACATTCTAGAGTAACATCCTTGAAGAGAAGACCTTTTCCATTTAGCCCTATTATCTAAATTGGTGGACTTGGGCCAGACCCATACACTAGAACAAGATAGGTGAACTCTGACACACGCTGAATTTTATGAGAAGGAACTGGGCTACTCTGTCATAAGCATGTCTAGACAAGGTTTCCAGATGGGACAATCAAGGTGTCTATCAGGGAGCACAACTGGCCTGCAGTGTAGACTCCAGATTTAGTCTGTGAAGCCCTTTACTTTTAACGTTACTGAGTTGGGCAGAAAGTGAGAGCTGAGTGCAGATGTGCATAGAGATATCCCTGCTTGTAATTAGAGGGGAAGGGTCAGGAAAATGCTTTACATAAAGGTATACTTATTTATACGTCAAAAGAATTAAGGTCAGAACATTTTGAAGTTTTTTTAGTTCAGTGCTTTCTTTTTGAGATGCTGAACCTATGTGTTTTCAGTTTTGTTCTAGGTGCAGTCTCCCCTGCTGTGGTGGTTCCCTCCATGCTGATCTTACAAGCTGGGGGATATGGGGTGGAGAAAGGTGTCCCAACTTTGCTAATGGCAGCTGGCAGCATTGATGACATTCTGGCTATCACAGGCTTCAACACTTGCCTTGGGATGGCTTTCTCTTCTGGTATGCTGGTTAATTTGTACATGATGAAATGCAGAACAGTGATATTTTGGAGAATGTGTGGTCTGGTATGGCTGACTGGTTTGTAACTTAATGGCATCTTGTTATAAAATTCATGTATATCCTTAAATACTGAGATGGAAATTACCCATGTTCAAGAGTTAGTGTAACACTGTCAGCTTTGAGTTGTGGGTCACAATAACTTTCAGAGAACATTTTTTCCCTGACTGCTCCCTTAGCTACCAAGTCTGGGCCCTGCGTGCACAACATAATGCTTGGAAATTTCACTGGATTTGGCCAGTGGCTCTTTCTATGGCTTCTCTTGCACACTTTCTTGGCATGAGCTTTCAGAGAAAGGAAGTTGTACCATCCAGTTCCTTCAGGCCCATAGGTTCCCCCCTGAACTCCTTTGCCCCAAGTAATTTAAGGCAGACACTGTCCTGGTATTACCCTCATAGGTGTACAGGATGGTTTGAGTGAGGGTCTGTGGATGGCTACTGAACATGTTTTCCTTTTGCAAAATAGGTTCTACTCTGTACAATGTGCTCCGCGGAGTGCTGGAGGTCGCTGTTGGCATAGCAGCTGGGGGAGTTCTGGGAATGTTTATTCGATACTTCCCAAGCCATGATCAGGTAAAAACCTAGTTTAAAAAAAAATACAGTCAAGTGATCCTTTGCTAAGAGATTATTTTCTTTAGTTATTGGTTTCCAAGCTTCCTGTGAAACTGGCTTTGGGGAAAGCTTTTTACAGTGCTAGCAGCTTCCAGATTGCTAACCTATCAAGTGAGGATGTGTTTTAAAGGTGATTACTTATTTACTGCACCAATAATAATGTATGATCTCATAGTCCTTCCTGATGGAAGTTTGGAATCCAGCTCACCATCCTCTTGATGCTCTCATTGAAGGTAGTAGAAATGGAGGAAGGCTCTGATACCCATTTGAGACAGTAAAATAATAATTTATTAGATTGATGCAGAACACATTTACTTCTTTAAGATGTATCCAGTAGGCTAAGATTAAAAACTAATAAAGCAGATGTATTAGAGGTTTTAAGTGATTGATCATATCCTTAGTACTAATTGTAAGGTATTACTTTCCATAAAAATTCCATTTATAGAAAGTGGTAAATTAATTTTCTATCAAGGCGTAATTAAATGAACAGAAAATTGTGGAAGAATGCAAATACGCTCTGGACTATCAAAGTCAGTATTCAGAGCATCTATTGCCCTCAGTGGCATCAAATTTTCTTATTAAATAATGTAAGAAGTGTGATACAAGAGCTAAATGGATAGAAATTAGGAACAATGGTAGATATCTGTCTGCTGTGGGACTGAATGAAATAAAACTAGATTATTCCTGGCAAATGTTTGACTTTGTCCTTAAAAACATCTGGTGGCAAAGATTTCACCTTTCCTTGGATAAACTGTTGCAAGACTTGACTACACAGGTAGAAAATCCTCCTACTACAGAATTGAGGCAGAGCTGCTAGAACAGAGCATCATGTTCCTTGTGATAAAAATAGCCTAGTGGCAATAAGAATTTGGATGGGTAGAGGGAAAAAAAACACGTTTTAAAAATTTGTATTCTTAGGAATTAATGTCTGAAAAAAATCCTCAATCCAACTGAGCAGTTCAAGTCTCACTTGGAAGCTTTGATTCCTTCAAAATTATAAATTTTTAATTTTCAAGTTCTTGTTTGCAAAATTAACAGGAGTGTAACTTTTCCCCCCATTTCTGAAAGAAATTAACTTTTTTGTTTGTCTCTTTCCTTCACTGCAGGCATCTTTGGCATGGAAGAGATCATATTTTGTACTTGGACTGTCCATGTTTGCTGTTTTTGGCAGTATATACTTTGGCTTCCCTGGATCAGGAGGGCTTTGCACATTAGTCTTAGCTTTTGTTGCAGGTGTGGGATGGTCTGATGAAAAGGTGAATGTTTACATAACAAGCATATCTTATCCAAAGTCTGGTGAATGTACAGCCTGACAGGAGCTTAAATTTCTGCAGAAGTGGTAATGGCATATTTGTGAAGCGTTAGAGGGTGTACAGATTTAAAACAAACAAGCAAAATAAAACCCAACCAAACCAAGCTGCACATTCCAAATTTGTTTAGGAAGTCTTTAGTTTTTCCCAGGCCAGAAAGTATGTATGTCAGTAGAGCAATATGTATGCCAACACAGATTGAGAATTGAGAAATGCTCAGCTTTTCTTAGACATTTTAAAGCATATGAAGGAGACTTAGTTGTGAAGACATTTGACAGTAGCAATCCAAAGCTTCAATTCTCAGCTCTGTGAGTGTCTGTACACAGTCACTTTATGGTGAAGTTTACAAATGGGTGTCCAGGATGCAGTTGTGGACATGGCCTGAATACCCTGAGGGTATTCTGTGGTTTGGAGGAGGTGAAATGAAAAGCAGTGATTAACTATCCTCTCTCATCTTTCCCAAATCCTAGCCAGTGTAGTTAGGATAACTTAGAGAGCAGGGTGCACACAATAAATGATGATACAAGGCCATACAAAAGACTGCTTTCTAGTCACTTTCTCCTAGGTACTAGCCTACTTCATCTTACTGCTGCTGCCTCACTGCCTTTCTGTACCTTGCTATGTCTGACTGCCTCTTTTGCTTGGTACCATCTACATTTAATGTTTTGAGGACATCTTTCTCTGTCCACAACTACAGCTTTGTGACATTCAGTAGAAGAAGGGGAAGAAAAAGGATAGGGGGTTAGATATACTACAGTCCATGTTATTATCCCCATCTTGACCATGACTTTACAAAGATACCAAGGTTTGTTGTAACAATGAAAAGAAACTAAGATTGTCCAATTTTAAAGGATGAAAAACTCTTCTTGGGTCTTAACTAGCTAAGGACATTACAACTGATAAAGCTGTCTCCTGAAAAGCTTTTAAACCATTTCAGGAGGAAGGACCTTAAAAGAGTATATGCAGTCTGTAAAGGCTTAGTTTAAATTATTTTGATCTGTGAATGACGCTTCATGGCTTTAAATATATTGATGTCTAATGCCTTAGCTCTTTTTTTTTTCTCAGATAAAGCTAGAGGTGTCTGTGTACTCAGTATGTTACCAAGGTTTTTGTACTGAGCTTCTCAAAGTCCACTGCCTCCCACTGTGCAGTCCATGGTGGAAGGCACTTAACAAACACTGTCTACAGAGAACAATGAACATGGAACCTATTCCTGGAACAGTCAGATGGGCAATAAATAGGCTGAAATCCATAAAGAGGGGATTTTGGGGGGGGGCTTTTAAAAAAAAATTTGTTTTATTTTGCCAGAACTGAAAAGGGTGAAATGACAAGGAGAAATGAGGCAAAAAACATTTATATATATTTCCACCTCATTTTCTTCAAGGTTACAGAAGTTTTTGTGGTACTGTAACCTACCATTCCTTGACAGAAGAGCAAGACATGTTGCAGAATCAGTCCCTAAGAGAATACCAAGGATGGGACATGTCTAGGCCCTGGATTGATTATTAAGTGACAGAGCACTGCACTTACATTTGCCACACACTCCTGCCTGAAGGTTCATTTTCTATCGTAGAACCCACTTAATTAAAAGACAAGTGCTATTTGATACACTGTGTGTACCTTGTCATGTAAGTGGAAGATTCCTGTTTACCCTGTCAGGAGTTGTTTTAGGAAAATTGTGTAAAGCCTCAAACATGAGGAGAAAAGATGGTTTTGCCTTTATACACTCTATTGCAGTGGAAAGTTCAGCACTTGTAGCTGCTATGTGATTTCAGACTTGCTCAGACTGATTTTGCTTCTGCTGACATGGAGAGAGGCCTCCGAGTGAGTGCAGCAAACAGAGTTAGGTCATGACTGAAACTTGGGAGAGTCTTGACTCTGCTTGGCTACAAATGGAAGAACATGTTTAGGCATGCAGTTCCCAAAGGCTCAGAAACTTCATGGCAAAGCTGTTGAAATTACATCTTTTTAAATACTGAAACTCAACAACGCTTATTTTCCTTCTCTCGTCTGCAAGCTACTCTGTTACTGTTCAAACACCAATGCTTTTTATTTCTCCTCTCAAAACATCAAACATTTATTTATTAGGACAGCTAGACTCAGTCTGACCTTCAAAAGGTGTGCAACTGATTTTGAATGTTGTAGTATTTGGTCAAAGAAAGAGGAGCACTTCTGGACAATCTTTATGAAACATTTTCATTTTGTCCTATGATTACTGAACTGTTGTGTCTGTTTGGCCATCTTTTTGTGAATTTACAGATTAGTTTTGTTTTTATTGCAGAGGGAAATAGAAAAAATTGTGGCAGTTGCATGGAATATCTTTCAGCCTTTTCTTTTTGGTTTAATTGGAGCAGAAGTATCGATTACATCTCTTAGGCCTGGAACTGTTGGTAAGATAATTGACAAAAAAAAAAAGGCAAAAAGAAGCACCTATGCACAAAAGTACTGAGAAGTGTTTGTCTGTTGCAGGGCTCTGTGTTGCTATATTAGGCATTGCCCTAGTTGTGCGAATCATAGCAACATTCCTGATGGTGTCTTTTGCTGGGTTTAATTTCAAGGAGAAGATATTTGTCTCACTGGCATGGATTCCCAAAGCCACTGTCCAGGTAAACAATCCAGCACAACTTTCATTCCAGGCTAAATCTATTTTCCTTGGCAAAGCTCCCTGTAACTAGCATAGCAGTAAGCAGGGAAAGATTCAGGCTCAATGACAGCAGAATATAGAATATAGACTGTTCATACTCTAAAGCACTCTAACTGCTTGAAAAGTGTCTGGAGAACTTTCTGTGTGCAGGTATTTTGCTTGCATCCTAGGTTTACTCATTATAATGACACTGAATTGTACATACACCACAGAAAATTTAATTATTTCTCAGCCATTGCTGATTATTGTGCCTTCACATACAGATTCTGAGACCTCACAAAGGTAAAATACTTTAACCTCTTACACATGACGTGTCTGCAAGGACAGTCACATCAGAACTCAGAATGGGTTTCAGTTTGTGATTATTTTGGTAAGGAGAGATATTAAGAGCCATATTGATAGAGATGGCTCTGGTTAGCTGCATTCCTCCTGCTCCTTTATTTCAGTGATTGTCAAGTAATTTAGACTTTGCCTCAATAGCATGATTACTTGCAAACAAAAGTTAATAATCAAAACAGGCAAGGCTTCTTACATTATCAGTGAATTGAATTTTCAGAAGCTGCCACTAGTTGACTATTGTCAGAGTGTCAGAGTCATTCTCCAAGTGTGGCCTTTTCACAACTGCAATACACAATACACTGGCCAGTTTAATTAATCACATATTCTCCAGAAATGTGGATAAAATGGCAGCTAAGCAATGTTCTTCACAGGAGGAAACCACACAGATAAACTCATTAGCTTAGGAAATTCCAAGCATAGTCAAGTGAAAATTGTTCTCATAGGTATAATATAATGTTTACTTTGCTATGTACAGCCTAGAAACAAATGGGTTGAATGTACTAAAAATGTCAAATTTATGTAAAATGTTGACTAATGATAGGTTCCGGTTTTTCCTCGTTCAGTGCTAAAGATTACTTCTTGCTCCATCTCAGCAATGTTTTCTTCTCTGCAGGCTGCAATAGGTTCTCTTGCCCTGGATACAGCAAGACAACATCAAGATGAACAACTGGAAAAGTATGGAATGGATGTACTGACAGTAGCTTTCTTGGCTATCTTGATCACTGCTCCAATTGGAGCCCTGGTTATTGGCTTGGCAGGACCCAGACTTCTGCAAAAGGCTCAGACAAATAGCAAGGAGGATGAGGAAGGTGCAGAGGTTGGAGAAGAGGCAGAAGCCTGTGAACCTTCATAAGACAGACAACTACAGCAGTCCGGTCCTTTAACTGTGACACTTCTGTTGAGTAAAGACAGCATGTCTAATCATGTTGGAGGAACCTAAAACTATCAGTCACCCCTGCTATTTTTAAAGTAGCCCTGGTGGAGTTCTATAAAATATTTTTATGTGAAGCTGGTGCCTTGAGATGAAATAGCTGAACATACAGTGAATAAGATGACCTGGCAGTGAGTCACTGAGAAGTTAGCAGTCAAGAGTTACTTGAAATGTGTGGGTGGTGAGGCCAGGGAGAGGTCAGAATTGTTGAGGCATGGAGTGGAGTCATGAGGTAGAATATAAGCAAAAAAAAAAAATGGAGACTACTGTGAATAACTTCTTGATGGTTGAAACTGGGCTGTGATATGACACCGTTCTACAACTCAAAGAAAGCAACTTCCAAGTAAGAGATCACAGACACATAGTGAACAAGTCCTGCCATCAGTTGGTTAATGATTGTTGATTGATTGTTGATTGATTGGTTGGTGAGTCCCTCTCCTTCCTCATCTGTGTTCCTAAACTTGCCTTTCCCTATTGCTGTTCTTCCTCACAGCTGAGCCACTCCTTTGTGCCTTCAAGGACTTTCAACTCTGGTTGTACAGCAAGTGGTACTTACATGCTCAAAGAGACAGTTGGGGCCATCATAGACTGGTAATAAACATGTTGGTGCCAGCAGAAAAGTAAGGGCTGGGGGAAGGTTGTATGGGACTGGGATGGCTGCTTCTTCACCTGTGTAGCTCAGCCTTCCCACAGCATGATGTCAAGGGAGATGCTGTCCTACAGCCAGGAGTAACCTCTGTTGATCAAAATCCTGCTCTTGCCTTTTAGATTTGGTACTTGACAGATACCAGCATATATCTCTGGCTCCAAGGAAGTTGTTGGTAACTTCATTCTGAGGCACAGGGTCAATACAGCATCCATCAGAAACTGGAATTTACTTTGTTATTTTTTGGAGGGGCTACTAGATTGTGGCTGTAACTGAGGTGGAAAACACTCTCCTGCAGATTTCTACACTACAGTTTACTGAACTCATTTTACAGGATACTGTGTAGAATACATTTGATGGTGTCTAGATTTTGGCATTAGTAAGAATCATTTCTGTTTTAGCTTTTAAATTTTTATATGCAAAACAAGAAATGTGCAAAAATACTTTTAACTACTTAAATACTCCTGATGTTGACACTATACTGTTTGCAGAGTCATATGCCATACACATGAGCTGTATATGCATGCCTTTGTATAAGCCTTACTCTCTAAGCAGAAGAAAAGATTCCTGAGAAATACTTATATTTCATAGCCTCAGTTCCAGCACAATGATAAAAATACCAGGAAGTTCTTTGGTAAGTCCCCTGAACAGTTCTCAAGTACATTGTATTTCTCTAACTATGCACACTGCTGTTCTGCTTCCTTGGGAATGCACCATCTTTAGTTCATTTCAGCTTTGTCTCCTGACCCAAAAGGAAGATGCTTTCAAAGTGTACCTCATGGGTTTGAAGCTGGAGCAATGGTTAAGGGTGCTGTGCTTGGTTGTTATTGTGACATACCTGGCCCTCTGTGCGTGTTCTGCCTACTTCACATGCACTCCTGGTGTTCACCTGGCCCAGTCCTGTTCAGGATCTTTAGTGACGATCTGGATATGGGCATTGAGGGCACCCCCAGTAAATTCATGGACAACACCAAGTTGGGTGGCATTGTCGATCTGCTGGAGGGCAGGAAGTCTCTGCAGGGGATCTGGACTGGCTGGATCAATGGGCTGAGACCAACAGAATGAGGTTTAACAAGGCCAAGTGCTGAGTGCTGCCCTTGGGTCACAGCAGCCCCAGGCAGTGCCACAAGCAGGGGACAGAGTGGCTGGGAAGCTGCCCAGTGGAAAAGGACCTGGGGGTTCTGGTGACAGCAGCAGAACATGAGCCAGCTGTGCCCAGGGGGCCAAGAAGGCCAAGGGCATCCTGGCCTGTATCAGCAATGGTGTGGCCAGCAGGAGCAGTGACTGTCCCCTTGTACTTGGCACTGGTGAGGCCACAGGTCAAGAGCTGTGTCCAGTTCTGGGCCCCTCACTACAAAAAGGACATTGAGGGGCTGGAGCATGTCCAGAGAAGGGCAACAGAGCTGGGGAAGGGTCTGGAGCACAAGTCCTGTGAGGAGCGGCTGAGGGAGCTGGGGGTGTTCAGCCTGGAGAAGAGGCAGCTCAGGGGGCACCTCACTGCTTACAGCCCCGAGAGGAGGGTGTAGCCAGGGGGGTCGGCCTCTTCTAGCATGCAGCCAATGACAGGATGAGAGGACTGTCTTAAGCTTTACCAGGGGAGTTTTAATTTGGACAGTAGGAGGAATTTCTTCACAGAAAGGGTTGTTAAACAGTGGAATAGCCTGCCCAAGATTCCATGGAATCATCTTCCCTGTAAGTGTTTAAGCAAAGACTGGACATGGCACTGAGAGCCATGGTCTGGTTGACATGGTGGTCATAGGCTGGATTCAATGATCTTGGAGGTCTTTTCCAACCTCATTGATTCTATGATTTTGTGAAATGCATGTAGTTTTAAAAGGAGGTTAACTATTTGGAAATTGTAATGTTGGTAAAGCTAACTGACAAGATGAGGAAATAGTGTTCAGTTCATCAGTGACTGTCTATAAAATAGTTCTACTTGAGTAGAACTTAAAGGAGTTCACTTCTTTGTAAAGCTTTGTAAAAAGTAGAATCCTCCCACAGAGATCACTATGCCAAATTTGGAATGTGTTCAATAACAGAAGTGTGATGTTGTAAGGATTACAGCCCTTTAAATTTGGACACAACCTTAAGTACAAAAGCAAACCTCTGATGAAGAGCTCTTGTTTGTGATAGCCTCTAATACTTCCCAGCAAAACAGCATCTCATAAATGGGATTCACCTGTTCCTTTAACCTCTGTGTGCTCTCAGTTATACATTAGATCACTTCCACAATTCTGAGTGCCTGAATAAGCTATACCAATTAAAACTTGTCATCTTTTTTGTTAATCTAAGTGAGATTGAATAGATTTTTCTTTCCCTGCCATTTTATGTTGGTATTTCTCATGAGACCCCTTTCCCCCAGCTTTTATTACATCTTCAAAAAGTACCAGGTTGGAGCTATTACATAGACCAGCAGATCTAAAATTAAAAGCTTTAATGCTTTATAATGTTCCCTCTCCTTATCTTCCAGAAAGAAAGAAAGCATTTGCATCTTTTTGTTAAATGATATATCAGGACTAAGAACTTTAGAGACTAGGTCTTTTTAGTAAGTATCGTGACAGTTTCAGCTGCTTTTGAATAGCAACTAACTTTGAGAGATTTCAGTTTTTATCAGAGTACAGGTGAAGCATGACATTAAAGACCACTTCCCTTTTAACAAAATGCCTTGAAAATGATTACTGAATAAGGCATACATTCAAGCTAATTAACTCATTATGCCATGGTATTCTCTTATTTGCAGGAAATAAGAGCACAATGTGCAGTAACTGCTAACCAGAGTCCCGCTGCAAAGCAGACACAATCACAGGCACAGTGTGGGGGAACTTGGAGTGTGCTCTTCCAGAAGGTTCACAAGAACCTCTGCAGCAGAAAGGTCTGAAGCAGAAAGTGTTCCCAGCAGTTATAACAGGCAGCATATGGGAAAAGACAGAAATTGTCTATCTGCAAGCAGGGAGTTGATCAGGCATGGGGATGTGATGAGGATGTGATTATAATCACTGGTTACGCTCTCTTTTTCAGCCAAACAGAGCTTTTCATGGAATTCAAACTCAAGTCTAAAATTAACTGTGAAAGAGTCATGGTGTAATACAGCCACAAAATGGAAGATGGTTTCTGCATCTTGCTTTTTAAGTAAAGAGTGCGAGAGATCAAAATTTTAGTCAATTGCACTTCAATTATATTTCCTTTGTCTAGTAGTTGCCCCAAATCAGACACCTTTCTCTAAACCTGTTTTGCAAGTTTATTTGTAATCCATTGTAACCATGTTCAAATTAATTATGAAAAGAACGGAAAACTGTTCTTGTAGAATAAATGGTTGTCACAATATGCTGATTTCAATTTCCTCAGATCTTCAATCAGGACTGAAGACCTGGTCCTCAGTTCTGGTCTTTATTGGTATTTAGGGCAAATTTATTCCTGTGTCTGCAGCTTCCCAATTAGATTAGAAAAGTCAGGTAATATGTTCAACTTTCCAGGTGCTGGTGAGATACAGAGCTGTACAAGCACTTCAGCTTTTAGCTAGCTAGCTATCTCTGTAGACCTTAGAGAGAACAGATTAGTAAATTGAGATTTTCTATAGAAAGTTCTGTGGACATGAGACAGTATTACCTTGACAGATTTTGAAATGCAAGGAAATGATGATTTATCTTGCTTGTGATTCTCATTATATTATTATCTTGTGAAATTACTAAAATGTCCTTTCTAGAAAAGAACTGAGACTTGCTCTTGCAACACTACAAATTTGTTCCATGCCCTTACAGATGTAAGCACAAAAAAAAAAAAACTCTGTTTATCCTATAGCCGTGTCTGGAGATTGCTTTTAAACTATCTCATCTAAGAGCAAGTAGGGAGGAAAAAAAACAGTTACTTAATCAAGCTGTGTTAAAGATAGAATGAAGAGGTTAAACCTTATACTGTTCTTCTCTTCAAGGAGCTTTTTGGGAGAAATAAAATCATGTTGCTGTATTACTCACTAACAAAGTTTGTCCTAATTTAACAGGTTTGGTTACAATTTCAGAGGAATACAGACGTATCCTGATACAAGCTGGAAGCACATACAGGCCTGTGTCTAGTAAGTCTGCTACAGCAGACTGTGGTTTTTAAAACCTGAAAAAAAAATATCAAAGACCGGGCTTTACATTTCACAGGAATTTCTTCACCAAACCCAAGAATTGGGGATTGGTATTCTATACACATCTGTAAGTGAAAACAGTGTAAGACACCTTTATGTATTTTTCTCTGTTATAAATGCTTCTTTCCTAAGACATTTATGGTTTGCTCATCGATTGAGGTAAGACCACCATGAAGCATTTAAACAATATACATTATACCATGGCTCTGTTAAACTTTGTAAAAGCAGGCATTTAACACACAGTCACATCCTAATCTGCCACCTTCTGCTGTAAGACAAGAGGTTTTGGAACCTAGAACTACAGCTAATGGAAGAGGAATGATCTACCTTAACTCTGCTGTTGCTGCAAGAGCCCTTATGTGAGAACATCTTTCTGACTCGCTTTCTGTTTCAGCACTGTGGTGACCAGCTTTGGCAACAGCTCTGGGGCTTCCCACCTAAGAATGGGTCAAATGAAATGCTGTTAAGGAATGGGTGAGATCTCTCATACCATTGTCTAAAACTGTAGCATGGACCAACTTTTTATTTTTAAACTGATGGATACAATATTTCATGGGAGAATTAAGCACTTTAGAATAATTAATTAGAAATCTAGCAGTTAGGTAAGTAGTAATTATCTGCATCTGAATTTAAGCCTCAGCACAGCAACGTTCTGACTTGCCTGAATAATAATTCTGAATGGGTAACAAGCCAAGAGAACAGCTCAGCTCTGCATCCTCAGTTCTGTCTCTTAACCCATTCATCCCTTGAAAATTCCCATTACAAAAAGTAGTGACTATAGTGCAAGGGAACTTGCAGGAGGCAAATTTGTGTTTCCTTACCATCAACACAGGGCCTGAAATACAGGGGTAATGGTGGTGGGTGACCTGCTCAGTAGTTTGGTTTTTATATATGGCCTGGAACTGCCAGCACTCTACCTGGGATGCTGTGTGAAACTTTCCAGCAGTGTGGGGTTTGTCTGAGCTAAGCTGTTTTGTCTAAGACCAACAAACTGCCCAGTTAGGCACCACACAGGCCAGACCTTCAGCCTGCATGACTTAACACTGATCTGCTGCCTGAATATACATTCACAAAGGAGGAAGCTGATATCTCTTTCTCCCCCACTTAAGTACACTTAAATTTGTTGCTGAAAAGCAAAGTAAAACATGATTTCTCAGCAGAACAAACTCAAGAGAAAAGTGCACTTGAAATAGTGACAGTTTTATAATTGTATGCTCATACAAAAAAAGGTTTAGTTGTAGAAAGTCAATTTATTCTTGAAATAAACGACTTATTTACAGAGCTAGGTACTTTACAGTTTTACAAAGCAGGCAAAATTCTTCTCAGAATAAGGTACCGAAATAGCAACAAATTTGTCACTGTCTAAATGCAATTTATTCCAAAAAGAAATCTACAGCAATCATGAAACTAAATCATACCAAAATGCTGTCCCTTGCAACTACAACAGTATAAAAGACTTTTTATCAGTCATTACCTAGATTACACATGTGCTATACTTCTTTCTTCTTGAGTATTAGTGGACCTACATTATCTCCTGTTAATTCATTGTGCTTGTTGTGGGAGCCATCACAGACAGGGAACTGAAAAAAAAACCAAACACAAGGAATTAGCATAATTCTGTACAGAAGTTGCATGGTGATTTCTGTGTTTCTTCCTATGCCCTGAGTACTCTGATAATGTTGCTAGTTCCTCCTGTGATGTCCTGGTTCAACATCAAACCCCTGTCTCCTATCAGACACAGGATACTAAGGAAACCAAACACAGTTAATGGGTAGCTAAGTTTGTGAGATCCTAAAATAGCTGTTCTCAGACACAAAGTCAGGGACAAAGCCTTTTCCATGAAAGAACAGCAAACAGCCGTCACAGCTACAAATCGATTTACTGTGCAACTAATAAGAGTGCTCTTAATAGATTTAGTCATTTGCAACAAAAAAGTACTTTTTTAAGAAAAGCTGAAATACTTTGCTGAAGTGCTAAGTCCAAAGTGAGAATAGCTGAGTTCAGCTTCTCCAGTTCAGGGCAGACTTTTCTGTTTTTATTTAAAAAAGGATGAGTTAAGCTTCTCCAGTTCAGGGCAGACTTTTCTGTTTTTATTAAAAAAAGGAAAGCATCTGGTCCATGGAGAACAAAACCAGAGTGTGGTCAGGACATTCAAAACTGAATCAGGAAATGAAAACTGAGGCAACATGAAATGCACTCATTTACATCTAGTTGATTTGGGGGATATGGAATATATCCCAACCAGTTATCTCACTGCCTTGGACCAGATAGGAATCACCAACACAGGCCCAGCCTTATTTTCATTCTAATATGAACAACCTTCTAATCATTGTTTTTTGCAAAATAAGAGTAGTTATCTCTTAATTAGTTGCAATGTATTTCCAAATAGTAAAACAGGTTTGCTTGGTTTTGTTCTACTCTCATGTGGTCACTCCCTAAACATTTCTAGAAAAATCCTACTGTGCTTCTTTCAAGTTTCTACAGTTGCTTTCTTCATGTAGACATGTTTGTGCTATTCTACAAAGTTCAGGAGCACAATTCCGGACAAAGGCAAAAGCTAAACACAGCAATACACCACCAAAGCACTGCTAAAAATATGCAAGTTTCAATCTCTGATCCTACAGTAGCACAGGGTCTTACCGTCTTCGAACGCCAACACCTGCAGTAAGCTTTTGTGAGGCACAGATCTTCAATGTTTATCTCATTCACTACTTTGGGATTTTCCTTCTGGATCTTGAGGTTAATCAAGCTATCCTTCTGCTGTTTCTTCTTGGGGAGGAAGGGACGAACAGCAAGGTAACCGAGCAAGGCCAACACGCCCAGGAAAGGCAGTAACCGCAGCCATTCTGAAACTAAAGATAAGGTGGGATTTAGGGTAGCTTCTGACACCACTCCAGGATGCTGCAGCATCAGCTACTTTCACATGGCTTAGGCTGAGGGTATGAAATGGGGATGCTCAGTCAGCAGGGCCCTCAGGGCAAACAAGATTCCATTGGTGAGTCTCAAGGAAAAAAAAATATTTAGATTAAGTCCTAGGATTTACTCCAGCCAAAGTAAAAATCTGACTCCTAGAATTTAATCTGAAATTGAATTTTATAACTCTAGAAGGTGATTCAATGGAAGATAATAAATACAAAACAAATAGATTTACTGAAATCAGCAACCCTAAAACACTGGCAAAACCTTCAGAATCTTTTTGGTTTTATTTTTCAGACCTGTGTTTGCTCAGGGATCTGCAACCAGTTTCTACAAAAAGGAGAAAGAATGACACCTAAGATCAGTAGGGCAAATCACAGAAAATTGCTTTTTGCAAAGGTAAGGAACTTCTTTCAAGTACAGGTAAAAAAATAAAAGTATCCACTGCAGATCTGGCTGCCCTACTACATCGTTGTAATTTTTCTAGGCATACTGGTGAAAGACTTACTAGACTTTTTAAGAAATACATCAATAATTGTCATTTATCTATATATAATATTTTTTAAATTTAAATATATATATTTATATATAAAATGTATAAGGTGGATCCACTTTTCCAGCAAATATGCTGTTGTAATACTCTAGTGCAATTTAAATACTGTGGTACACTAAAGGTTGAGAACATTTTTCTGAATTTCTGAAGAATATATTAAATCTAAACACTCATACAAAACAGAGTTTAAAAATACTTTAGAAGAGAAAGAAAAAAGTATAACAAGCTGCACAAACAAGAAGCACAAATAGCTGCACAAGCACCCTTTAGACAAGACACTAATCAACTTACTCTTCTAAATTATTTAGGGTCAGAATATAGTAAGATTTTGTTCTACAGTTTGTTTGTTGAAATTAAGATGTACAAGAAAGAAAACACAACAGAGCAGGCTAAGTCTGCCAGGTGGGTTGTAGCCCTGAAAAAATACATTGTTCTGTATAGCTTTTATTTGTACTAATAGAACACATGGTTATGCTAATACTTCTCCAGTTAGAATCCAGTGGATTTTTCTTAAGGATTTAAATTCTCTGGAACCAGACCATGAAACGAAAATAATTTGTGGGATTAATTTTTTGTTCTTTGTTACCTTTGATGTGACAGCCACATTTAGTGTATTTATCTGGAAATGCACCACCGCTGCATAAATGCTAAAGGCACTGCAAGAAGTCTCAGCAGTCATTTCCCAACTGCACATGCAGCAGTCCCTAAAAATCACAATTCGCCATATTCACTAAAACCCACTTCAATACATTAATCTCTGGTGCTCTTTCCTTAGTTCCTCCAACAAGCTGCAAGCCCTAAATAATAATTAACACTGAGATACTTAAATTAGTTTTCAGCTGCAAGGAATCCTGAGTTCCTGGACAGCAGTGCCTGTTTGCCTTTTCTAGCATTACTTTTCTGGAACACTCCATCAATTCCATCAGGAATCCAAAAACATTTTCTGACCTTACCTGAAGGACTGACTTGGAATGTATTTCAAAAGAGAGGAAAAATATTTGGTCACTAAAAAAAAATTCCAAACTTTGTATTTAACCTGTTGACAAAAATGTGGATCTCTACAAAGCTACTCCTCTGAACTCCAAGACAGAACAGGCATTCCAAGAGGCACACCAGGACCAGGGCATCTGTCAGGTGTGTGGTGAATATAACTGGGCTAAAATTGACACACAAAAAGGACACATCTCACACTCTCATACAGCATCAAAATCGGAACAGTGTCATGTCTATGAATGGCTCACAGCCAGTCGGGTTCATACAGCTGAAAGAGGAACATGATAGCTGTAACCTCTGAGAAAGGGAATTAGAAATAAACATGAATAGGATGTACAAGGCTGTAATTTAGGATGGTTATTACTTAATATTTGTACTAAGAT